CTTGTAGACGCCATCCGGGTGTTTACAAGCCAGCCGTAAACTTTATAGTCCGCGCAATAAAACCGCGCTCTGCCGCGTCGTTAATTAGAAACTTTAAAAAACTTTTATGGAAAGTACAACCGCAGGTCAAAACCTCGGGCTCTGATTGTTTCGCATTTCAACGCAAACGGCATTAAGGGTCATAGGGAATGTGTGTTTGCCAAAATGCAGCCAAGCGCGCTTTCGACCGATACCGATCGGAATCGAACCGAACCCTACTTCGACGCCTTCAGCTAGAAGTCAAAGATCATGTATCGGAACACCGACATACAACGTGGGACACTCTCCTAGAGGACATCGAGCCATCGCACACCGCCTACTGGCGGTTGACCCGCAGTCTGAAAGCAGACCCCCGCGAATCTCTAACGCCGTTAGTTAGACCTAATAGCGCTTCAGTAGCCCTAGATGTCTCTGAACAAGCCGGTGGACCGCGTAATCGAAACTATGGCTGCGATTCCACCAGAAGGCGATCCTTTGAATTCAGTGACCCCCGAAGAGGTCCAAGACATTATTAAAAATTTAAAACCCATATCCGCCCCGGGCCCAGACAATATTAGTAATAAAATTCTTAAAGCTCTTCCTGGGCAGCTTATCTATTTACTGGCGACCATTTACATCACCTTACTCTCCTGTTGCTCCTTTCCGGATGATTGAAAAGAAGCCACGGTTATCGGCATTCGCAAACCGAATAAACCAGCTAATCAGCCCTCGAGTTATCGTCCCATCAGCCTCCTCAGTTGCCTGGGGAAACTCTACGAGCGGCTATTATTAAATAGCCTCAAAGAGCACGTATTTTCCAACGGCCTTGTGCCGGCGGAACAATTCGGTTTTCGAGCTAGACATTCCTGTCCCGACCAATTATACCGCCTAACGGAACACATCCTGAAAGGCTTAAATCATCCGAAACATTTCAGCACGGGGGCTCTTCTTTCTTTCTTCGATGTCGCAAAGGCACTCGACAAGGTCTGGCACAACGGCTTGCTTTACAAGCTGTACACACTCAAAGTGCTAGATAAGCTCGTACACACAATCCGGGCGTTCCTGTCGAACCGATCTTTTCGATATCGGGTTGAGAGCACCCTCTCCACAAGCCACCGCCTCACGGCAGGCGTTCCACAAGGCTCCTGCCTCTCACCCTTACTCTTTACGCTCTATACGAGCGACATACCCAAAGGCCCCACGTCAATCTCGCGCTTTTCGCGGATGACACGGCGCTCTTTTACACAGATAAAAATCTCAATCAACTCACTACACGTCTCCAGAGCGCCGCCAACCGCGCCGCAAATTACCAACCCGACACAAACGCGAACGTGAACAAGCGACGCCCGCGAAACGTCCTAATCGACCCGGTCGAGGAAGGGGACTTAGATACGCCGGACCCACCGCCGGGGGTCCTGCCGGATAACACTACACCCACAGCTAGTGTAACAACAAACACAATAGTTCGCCCTCGCCTCCGAGCACGGCGAGATCAACACAACGCGTACACAAGGTACACCTGCGTTCCAGGGCGGTTCTCACCGCCCCCAGCCACCGATTAGCTTAAAACGCAGCAACTTCGATGGCCCCTACATGACATGTCGTAGTTAAACGCACGCATGAGCACATGCGCGGTCCTGCCCACAGCGGAGGGCCCAAACCCGTGGGTTTTGGCTAGCCCACCAGTTCTGCGTCAGATGAAGCTTTAATAGTCTCGGGACTGAAAGCAAAAACATCAGTTAATACAAGATACAAGAGAATGTATATATTATATGAATTTTTTGTGCGTCTTAAAAATTTTATCACAAAAATAATTATGACCTCAAGATCACGGAATGGAGAAAAGAACTCTTTTTGTCATTCCGTGCTCAATATAGTTTGCGAAAAATCGACCCTGTCTACTGAATACTTTTTGCTTCATTTAAGTTAAGAAATAGATATTCCATCGTACTCAACAATTTTAGTTGGTTAATATGAGTGGAATTATATTTATGATGAAGGATTAATTAACACAATTATTTAATAGAGCCAATAAACAGGCTATGGTAAGGCTATGTGAAAACTTTTATTGAGTTTAATGGGGTAAACTTCTTGTGATATTTGATATTTTTTATTTTTCCAACCAATACCCAATGATAACACGCTGACAAATCGCTTTTCATTAAAAAAATTTTTTGGTAAAAGTAATGACAGTGAATTTTTAAATTGAGCGACATCATAATAGCGACACCGTCTTCATGGTGTTACCATGGTAACAATAAATGTATTTTACCTTTAGTCCCATCAAGCATCCATCGTACAATTTTCGGTAAATGTAAATAACTTTAACTCCGGCGTAATTCAAATCAAATAAATTTTAAACGATAGAAATAATTTACGCCGGAGTTAAAGTTATTTACATTTACCCAATTTACCGTCTTTCCTACCGCTGCCTCCCGATTCTTCATATCAGGCACAAAAAACGTAGTGATTACATTCTCTTTGATCAGGCATTGCAAATTACCGATAAAGACATTTTCGAGGCGATTATGTCATTTTCATGTGGCTCTGCTGGCGGCATTGACAGTTTAACGTCACAACATCTAGATCTTGTCAAAGAGAATGTAATCACTACGTTTATAGATCTTGTAAGCGCTTCCGCCGGTTATGCTGGCAGAGTGCTTCTTAATGATATTACAAAATCATACAACTTAATGCTTTCCGGAAAAGTAAATTCTAAATTTGTTCCTTCCTTGTACAGGGCAAGAGTATGTGCCTTTAAGAAAAAAGAATGGTATCCGTCCTATTGCTATTAATTTTACCTTAACTTCAAAATTACCATGTAGGCAAATAATATCCAGCCTTAAAACAAAATTCCACCTGTGAAGCGGCTGTAAATTCGGTTCGAACTTCTTTAAATACTCGTGATTTGGATGTACTTCTGAAGGTTAACCTAAGAAATGCTTTTAAATCCATTGATAGAACGACTCTGATGAACGAAGTGGCTAACCATACACCAGAAATATATCATTATGTTTGGCAATGTTACAGAGAAAAGAGTAATTTATTTAATGAAGACAATATTATTGATTCTGCTGTCGGCGTTCACCGGGGAGATCCGCTAGTACCAGTAATATTTAGTTTGGGAATTCATCCATTTATTTCAAAATTTAAGTCTAAACTTAATGTATGGTACCTAGATGATGGTGCGCTGGATGGTAAAGTTGACGATGTACAAAGTGATCTTATCAAAATTATTAGACAATTTAAAAATAACGATCTGGATTTAAATAATTCCAAATGTGAACTTTTCTTTTCAGAAAAGATTTCCATTTTTGATTTCCCAAAATTTTAGCTCTATCATACCAGGAATTAACGTAGTCCGTTCAGATTCACTTTACCTCTTAGGTGCTTCTTTGTTAAGACTAATTTTGGAACCTCTTTTAAAATGAAAGTTATATAAATTTTTAGATCATGTTAACAAATTGTTTTTACTAAATTCGCATATTGCGCTTACTATTTTTCGTCATTGTATTCTTGTAATTTAATTTACGTACATCCTTCGCTCAAATCCAGTTTGGAAATGCGGTGACTTTTTGAACGAAATTGATTTTCATATAAAATCAGCTCTAGAAAAAAAAAACTAAATTTATCTCTTAATGAATTAAGCTGGACTCAAGCTACGCTACCAATTCGTTTTGGTGGTATTTGTTTATGGAAAATTTCTAGAGTCGCTCTACCTGTCTTCCTTGCTTCCGTGCATAGCGTAAATAATTTATGTAATCATATCCTTAATCACAATTCAGAACTTTCCTATGCCGAGGAGGTAAGGATGTCTTAACTGTCTATCTGCTCTAACGAAAATATCCCACTGGAAGTAAACTTACAAAAACAATGGGTTGTTCCTTTGGTGCGGAGAGTACAGAAAGATAATTTCAAACTTTAGAAAGTAATTTAGAACGTGCCCGTTTCCTAGACGACTCATTTAAAGAATCAAGTTCTAGGCTTCACGCTTTACCATCAAATAACTTTGGCACATTACTTTAAAGCTTACGCATTGCTGTAGGAATCCGTCTGGGAGCAACGATTTGTCAACCACATCAATGCCCTTGTGGTGTTAGTGTAGACAAATTTAGTCTCCACGTTTTTAATTTTTTAGTTATTGTCAACTCATATGTATAACTTAAATCTACGGTATATGTATTAATTCCACAAATTGTTTCAATTATATAATACGAATGATATATTAACTATATACTATTCGATTTTTAAATTTATTTTAATAGTTTTTGAATGTAAAAAGTTGCGCGCCGATTGTTTTGCGGCTTATCATAAAAATATTCTCAGAATTTAGTATAAGTCAGTCATGATGATGATGAACCAGTCAGATGATTTAGACTCGTTGAACGTCGCAGCGTTAAATAAAAACTTTGAATTATTCAAATTGACATAAGTATCACCTAAGTTAAATAATTGACGATAATAATTTATCTACTTGATTAACTAGTTAACGAAGATGAATCAACGTTGGCGTTAATTTGACGATAAAACCTTCAACGACCCATCTTAATGACTATAACGAAATTACGAAATTGACTAGATCCTGTCCAGTATTAAAATAGATAATAAATTTAAAATAGGTTGCATTCAGAAATTGTAAAGTAACATTCATTTCTTTCAGTCTGATTCGATTTGATTCCGAATAATTTCAATCGATACCGAGTATCGTAAGAGTGAAGACTCATTCGTATTTACATCGGAAATCGGAATATTCAATAGCCATAATTATTAGAAATAAAATTGCCTCGACTGGACTGGAAGCTGTACATTTTGATCCGGCATAGGTACCGTGAAATCTTCTCAGTCCAAATATCCGCGCAATCGCAGTTTAACGTACGGTTACTTGATATCTTTTTAGTCCATGATTTAATGATTTTTATAAATAATTTGTTTCTTGTTAAAGTTTATTTGTAATTTTTATTTTATTTCCAGAACAATTAAAAATGAAGCCTCCTTATAAAATAGGTAAAGTAGCATTCTGTTAAATTATTAAATTATTACTATTTACTTTTATAATATTATAATCATGATAAATGTTTTTAAGTAATTATAGGTTATCTTACTCCCATGTGCCGGACCGGATTGCTAACAATAAATAACACAGATTACGTTTTATCGTGTAATAGGTGTTTTACTGTTATTATTAAGCGATTGCAATATTTATCATTTATCTATGCATTATTCGGTTATCTAATTACACGTATCTGCAATCCCCGTAAAAATAAAGAAACTCCTTGTTACCATTAATGGGCTATTAGTATATTTTTAAGACATCTCTTTGAATACTAGAAATCAGTATAATGATTAGAAAGTTTTATTTACAGCTAACTTAGAATTAGCAGAGTTGGGTCGGAATGAAATCATGCTAGCAGAGAAGGAAATGCCAGGTCTAATGGCTTGCCGACGCAAATACGCCCATGCTAAAATTCTTAAAGGCGCTAGAATTGCTGGTAGTCTTCATATGACTGTACAAACTGCTGTTCTCATAGAAACTCTCATTGAATTAGGAGCTGAAGTAAGTACAAATAGTAGTAATGTTACATCCATATATAATTTATAACAAAACTAACTTTAGTGTTCTATCGTTATTTATACTAAATTATATATGTCTAAGACAAAAACCTTCTTGCAAATTTTTATTGAGAAATTTCATGGAAAACTAGTACAATTTGGTTCCATGTTGCTTATCAGACAATGAAAAAGAATGATAATTGATAACAAGTCTCTTATTGATTACTTTTTATAGCTGAATAGTTTTACATTTAACTGTATCATGTAAAATTATTATTTTTTTCTTTATATGATAAGATATAACAGAATTTTAGATAGTAGGTGATAGTAATTTTTTTCAAGTAAAAGTTTAGTTAAAGTAATTCAAAAACATTTCTTATCTCTTTGGCTTATGATAATTGTCTTGAGGTTATATGCTTTATCTGTCACCTTTAATCTAAAGTGATGATGCAACAAGGTTTCAATACAAGAATAGCCACTTGTTCAAGATAAAAACATCTGATAAGCAGGGACAGTTCATAAGTTTATGGTGCCATGGAATACTATTGGGATCTGCTTAATTATTCAATTAAAATGCCATGTTATAAAAACAATGTTTTCAATAATACATAATATGCTAGTTACATGGTATCAGACAAAAAAAGAGAATAAAATATTATAATTATTATAAATGATTTGGACACAAACAGCAACTATAAGACATAATTTAAAAAAATAATAATTTGTTATATGTAGTGATGCCATACTTAGTAAGTCATTTGTTTGATCAAAATTTAAGTATATAACTGATTTACTGTTTTATGGCCATTTTCAATATTCTATCTGTAGATTTGTTTACTAGCGATAGGTGTTTGGCATCAGCTCCATAATCATTATGTCGATCTACAAACTTCGAATATTGACACCGGCCGTTAATTGATATTTTGATATTGTTGTCTGATGTTTTTCGTAATAACATCCTGGAAAGAGTGCTCAATTTCAGAGCAAGTGATTGGCAACATCAAGAAAATCTTTAAGAGCAATTTGGGCAAACATTGAGTAGTTTCTGTTAAAGAATAAGTACAAAAATTTCACTTTCACATGTAAGACTGGCTTAGACTGTAATAAGTAAAATTTTAACAGCAGGACTTATAACTTTACACTCAGATCTGTTACCTATATTTTTGTCTTGGAAATGCCATTGAAAATTTTGTTGTAATATTTTCTTCTCAGAATTACCTTCTACTATATAAATTGATAAGAAGCTCATAGAATGCATTATTTAGCATCACTTTTTAAAAATTAAAATTTTTCTACACTGGTTGTGCAACAGTGACACTTTATCTGTAGATTTATCAGATCCACATAGATCTGCTTTCATTGATAATTTTTACTGGATTGAATGACTGATGTACTATTTTTTTTTTCATAAGGTATTTTACACATATTCCAAAATAACATTTATATTGAAATTTCAAAATCAAATTAAATCCAATAGACCATCTAGACAGTTTGCATTAGTTTAATTATGATTATTGTTTAGAACTTTATAAGGTACAATACAAATCTATATTTGCCTACCTCATAGGTTTGAGAAACTTATTTACAATTTTTTTTGTTTACTAAAAATTTATTACAACATAACTCTGAATTGATCATTCTGATCAATCAAAGAACTCTTTGAACTTAACCATCCTTTTGGCTACTATAATGACATTTGAAAAGCCTTTTGACAGCTGATTAGTTAATTTCTATGATGATAAGTTTTTCTGAAACCGGGCATAAATCTATCTATATTACATATCTAATAAACCTAGTCCATGCAGCATGGTGCCAAGAATGCTAGCTGCATTTTCTTGCTGTAATAGATGTAATTTATATGGTACCATATTGAAACAGATACCTTTTATTGATAATATTTGCAATTGATTTGTCCCTTCAGGTCCAGTGGTCTAGTAGCAACATATATAGCACACAAGATGAAGCAGCAGCTGCCCTAGTTGCTAGGGGCATTCCTATTTACGCCTGGAAAGGTGAAACTGAAGAGGAATACACATGGTGTATTGAGCAAACACTGATTTTCCCTGATGGTAAAGTAAGTTAATTTGTGTGGAAAGGTTTGGGTTACATTGTGTCCCAATGACAACTGTGATCTAGAAGATCTAATTGTATTGTAGTCTTCAAAAACCTTTAAAAACATTGCCCCTTACTGTAGGATAACATTATCGTATCTGTTTGTCACATGAATAATTGTTGAATGTGGGAATCAAACCCACAACCCCTGCTCCGAAGCCAATGCCTTGGCAACTGCACCCCAGACATTTATAGTATGTATCAATGTATAAAAATGGATGTATATATAAATATATGATGATAAATAGTTTTTGAATTTCAGCCACTGAACATGATTTTGGATGATGGTGGAGACTTGACAAACTTAGTACACAACAAATATCCACAGTTGTTGGAGAATGTGAAGGGTATTTCTGAAGAAACTACAACAGGGGTACATAATTTGTACAAAATGTTCCGTGAGGGTCATTTAAAAGTACCAGCAATAAATGTTAATGATTCAGTGACTAAAAGCAAATTCGACAATTTGTACGGATGCAGAGAATCATTATTAGATGGAATTAAAAGAGCAACAGACATAATGATTGCAGGAAAAGTATGTGTAGTAGCTGGATATGGAGATGTTGGTAAAGGTTGTGCTCAGGCTTTTAAAGGTTTTGGAGGAAGAGTTATTGTCACCGAAATTGATCCTATTAATGCTTTGCAAGCAGCTATGGAAGGATTTCAAGTTACAACAATGGAAGAAGCTGCCGAAGTGGGCCAAATTTTTGTAACTACTACAGGAAATATAGACATAATTTGTAAGGAACATTTTCTCAGGATGAAGGATGATGCAATTGTTTGTAATATTGGACATTTTGACTGTGAAGTTGATGTAGCTTGGTTGGACAAAAATGCAAAAAAAGTAAATATTAAACAACAAGTAGATCGCTATGAACTGGAAAATGGAAATCACATTATTGTTCTTGCAGCTGGAAGGCTTGTCAATTTGGGTTGTGCCACAGGACATTCTTCATTTGTTATGTCCAATTCATTCACAAACCAAGTTTTAGCTCAAATAGAATTATTTACCAAACACAAAGCTTACCCTATCGGTGTTCATACTCTACCTAAAAAATTGGATGAAGAAGTAGCAGCTCTTCATTTGGAACATCTTGGTGTCAAGCTAACTAAACTGACTCCCAAACAGGCTAAATATATAGGTGTCCCTGCTGAAGGACCTTTTAAGCCAGATCATTACAGATACTGATCACAAACGCTGAATGTTTAAAATTTCTTTCATTTTCCATTATTATTTGCAATAAACAGAAACTTTCTTTATAAAGGAGATATATGTATTAAAACAAAATTCATGAAAGGGCTAGTATTTTACTGACTTTAACTGATAATGCTTTGTGTCTTATAAATATACATTAAATAAAGACTTTTCACATTACAGGATTTTTTAATTATGACACTTATTTGCACTATGAAGAATAAAACCTAAGTAAACACTCATCTCTAAGTTTAAGGATACATTTATCTTTTAAGTTAACTACCCATCCTGGTTCCAATCCATAAAATATTTGTCTAGGATCTTTTCTTTCACTTAACATTTCATAATGGGGATCACTTTCAAGCTTAGGTAACTTGTACCCATATTTTTGGGCTAATCTTAATCTTTCTTCGGATATCTTCTCTGGGTCTGCTAAGTAACCTCTGCTCTCTGCACTAGTGTAATATTCAATAACATCTGGTGGAGGAATCATTCTCCTAGGAATAGCTTGCCCAGTTTCAAAAAACCTTTTTGGGTCCTTCAGCAAAAAAAGACTATGAGGGTCATAGTATGCAGTTGTAATGACTCCACCATTTCTTTCGACAGCAGCAATGACTTGTTCGCTTGCCCATTGTACTTCAATATTTATTTTTGCAGCAAAAATGTCTGCTCCCTCATCTGTCAAATGTATTCCAAACTGTTTCTGATCTGGAAATAGTGTGTACAATCCAGATTTTACAATACTTGCAACATCAATTGGTTTCGTAATATCTAGTCTATCTGTATCAATCAAAGTCTGTAGTTTTAATAATGAAATTGGTGGATATTGTCTTCTGTGACTGTAAGAATAAAAAAATGCATGTTAAGCACACCTGTTGAATAACATACCTAGTACAAGCTTTGTTTGGTTTGCTTAAAAATCATGTTGAGAACATGCTAATTAACTTTAATAAATGTGTTTAATATACTTACTGATGTCCTTTGTAATATGGCTCATGGGGTATTCTGAGATAAAATGGATTATTTCCTGTTTCATAACCCAATCTCATATAATTTTGTCTTTGTCCTGATCCTTTGTTACCCGCTCCATGTTTATCACCTCCATGTTGGCCACGACCACGTTTTTGCTGCAAAATAAAATCATTTTAAAGCGATGGTAAAGTAACAACATTTAAAAATAAACATAAACCTTAGTTAAATCACATAACCCTGATCATTGATAATTTATATGAATACGAGATACTTTTGTTTGCCAATTGGACCATTTTCGTGGCACATAAAAGCAGAATTTTTTTTACACTGATGTTAAAGTGATAAACTCTTACATGCATCTGTTGTTGCTTTAATTAAGCTATCTTTTTTATACCATTCGAACGAAACGTGTGATTGTGTGCTGTCACTCTCAGCAAATAGGAACACTACACCGGTGATTTTGTATGCATAAAACATATCTATAGTATAAATTATCATTGACCTCAATTATCCCCTCGGGAAACACATAAAAGAAAAATATACAAAAATTAGTAGAGAAATAATTACACAAATTTCCATATACAATTTACTTACTGTTATTTTAGAACCTGGATTATCACGGATGTTACCCAAAGATATTCTTGGCAAGGATCTAATTAGGGACAAAGATTTTTCTGTGATTTGTCTAGAACCCATAGCCATAGATATTAAATTTTTTATAACTATATTTCAATAAAAGTAACGGCAAAGGGTACTCGTATGAGAAGTATAAATAAGTACTTGCTTTGATTTGTAAGATTTCAGGATAGGTTAGTTACATTTGTCATTCATAATAATTCAATAATGACGGCAACAGGGTCGGATTTAGTTATGACGAAAAATATAGTACAAAAATTGAAAAGAATAGTATTTGTAAAACAAAAAATAGTACTCTTTATAATTTTGATTTCAGGAGGCATTAATTAACTCCTCTTCCAAGTTTTTATTCATCAATTCGTTTATCAATTGTTAAAAATTAGTTTCATCCTTAGAATTTATGGCATGATATGTGCGGAATACCAATAAATAAAATGTTATTTGTATTTACATCAGAAGAACTTTTGATATGTTCACAATTCTTTTCAGTTTCACCATTCAAACAATAATATTGTTAAAAACAAGTTGACAGCAGTGTTCCGAGCGGCGAGAGTGGAGGCAGAGTTAACTTCCCGGTCGCCGACTAATCAGAGGCGACTCAGTTGCAAAGCGTGAGTCGCGCGCTTTTGCGCGCTAAATCTAAAATAGACGCGGCGGTTGTTTTCATCCGCCACAAATTTAATTTTTTTAACATATCCTCAGTAGGAATAAAATTAGTAGAAATTCCACTTTTTTACCATCTTTGCATCCACATTTTTGGGCTAATCTTAATCTTTCTTCAGATATCTTCTCAGCGGAATGCCACCACTGTGGCGTAATAGCCGAGACAGCCCAACACGTGCTGGAAGAGTGCCCAGCCTGGACGGAGCAGCCCCAAGAGATGTGCGCTATCGCGGGCTACGAGCTCTCGCTGCCTGCCGTGGTTCGTGCTATGGTGGACAGCGAGAGGGCGTGGGGTGCTGTCCTTGCTTTTTGTAAGGACATAATCACCCTGTAGGAGGCCGCGGAGCGAAAAAGGGAGGTAACTGCCATCCTGGATATCCACCGCTGCAGACTAGGGCGCAGGAGGATATCCTACGCGCGCAACCTTGCCCCCTGATAACGAGCCCTGGGGTGGCAGATATGGGATTAACTTCTGCCCCGTGGAGGGATGGAGAGGGGTTCCGTGTCCATTGCACCGATACGGCTCCATTGGGCTGGACCGGGTGTCTAAATACCTGGAGAGGGGAGGCCTTAAAAGGCCACAGTCGCACCGGGGTTCGCGGAAGATTGGGTTTTCGTGTTCCCGTGTCTCCGGCGAAAGCGACGGCGCAGGTGCAACGTGGGTTTTTTAGTGGGTACCCCCGCGTTTCTAGGGACTCCCACATACCCTGGTTGTCTACCCACAAGGCGGCGGGGGATCCATTAAGTATTTTTCCCACGTAAAAAAGAAGCCTGCCTTTGAGACTTGTCCTGTCTCTGCGGATTTCTTTTTGACCCATTACTTACTTCGTTTTAAACAATTCTTTATGTTTTTTTACAAAGTTAGATATTTTTGGATTCGATTCAGGGCTAAAGAAACTGATTTATCTTACTAAAGAAGCTGTGTGTTTTGTTCCAATGAAGGTCTTAATAAATAACATACCTAGAAATTTATATTAATAAAAGAAATTTGATTATAATTAATTAATAATTAACGTATTATGAAAATTTCTCATTAAATAATGTAAATTTGGTATAAAAATTACTATTACATATTATTGAATCAGACTGAATTAAATACATTATTTTTTAAAACTGAAAATTAACCGATATATCGATATTTTTTTTTTCGATATATCGTGGCCGATATTGATATTTTTATAAATATCTATATTTCGATATTTTTTTCGACTTTCGGCATCCCTAACACGTCCTATATAAATCTATGATTGCCAGCAATGCATATGCATTTGCCAGATATGCCAAAGAGTACATTACTAATATAGAGTCGTCTCCTCGTGAGACAGCGCCATCTCTTGATGCGGGAACGAACTACAAGTTCAGATGTTTATAACCTGACCTGTAATATTTAACCATTTTGTTTTTACAGTTGAGTGCTTCAACTACAGTTTTCTACATAGTGTATATAAAATTTATTTTATTTATATTTGATAACATTTTATAGAAAACTGTAATTGGATACAAGCTTGCTAGATGTTACTTTTGGATAAAGTAAATAAAATACAGAAATATGTTTTGCGGACTTTTTCATTTTTTGTAATATTCACCCGCTATTTTTTTATAATCTTTTTTATGAATGGTTTCGAGTCTGGTGCCGTTTGGTAAATTATTTACATTAAATTATTTTTGGCTATCCAAAATCAGTGAATTTCCTCCAATCGATTGAATCCATGTTTTAAATCAGTCATTATCATTTTCAGGTGAGAAAAAAATACAAATTGGCGTTGCAGTCTTTACCTGTAAATACAATATGAATGTTTTGCCAAAACGTATAGCAAAATAAAATGATGAATAATGAAAGAGAATCGAATAAAATAAATGAATAATAACCGGCCGCAGTTCAGTGTTACCAACTGTTGAAAAAAAAAGCTCCTAAAATATTTGAAAAAACCTAAAATCCACTGTTTAAAAAAAAAACTTCCTAAATGAAAAAAGTCACCTTTTTTTAAATTATCTAACAAGCTAGAATAACTATCGGAAAATTTAATTATCAGGGTAATCAAAACTGTTTTATTTAAAAATTTACGTTTTTTTGGTGCTCTTGGCACCATGCCGCGCGGATTTGGTTTATTAGATAATATGTAATTTTAGATAGATTTAATCTTGTAAATATTATATCAATAAAGATTGTAAATATAAAAAAAAAAGAAAAAAAATTAACTTAAATAATATACTTGACCTTGATCGTTGTTCATTGACTTGAAAAATATTCATACAAATTAAATACATTTTATTGTGACGTTATAATAATTTTCATTATTTTTAAGAGTCAGACAATAAATAATGGGAATAAGTATCATTCAAGAAAGATCCGAATGAAACATCTATTAACCTATCTTTAAATTCATTGTCTTTTTCTCACTTAGCAGCATATTTTTGAACACATCCGATGGCAATTTCCTCACCATTTGGGATTTTATATTACATAGTAAATGAATTAAATACATGAGTAGCCGTATATTCACAATAGAAGTTTATGGCGGAACAATTTAAAATACTACATAGGCCAATGCTGCCAATACTATTACATTATATTTTGTGTTTTTTTTTTTTCAAATTAATAATTTTTGTTTAATAAAATGCAATTTTCTCCAAAATAAGAACCATACAAACAATTTTTTTTTAATTTATTTTAACTTAAAATAAAATTTTGTTTTTAATTTAATGATACCAAGGTTAAAATGGTTTTGCATTTAAAACAAATATCAAATGTATGGACTGAAAAGACAATGAGAAATGCATATCATCTTAGTAGTCTGTGATTGCCAGTAAGTTAGGCTAGTATAGTATGCAGTAGTATACTAGTGAGTATTTGTATCTCACGCGCTTTGTCTCTCGAAATCTGTTTAAAAATCAGATATTGTGGCAAACGCGTATGATATCGCGTTCGCGATTCGTGTCGGTATAGCAAGCGAGCACGGTACATCAGATTTCGGAAATATCAGATATTGTAAAATACATAGATATTGAACGAGCCAGTAAGCGATATTCGGATATTGTACTAATATCTAGTTTTCATATCTGATACGATTTGTATCGCCCACTTCTACCTTGAAGTGAAAGAAGATGGATTTACTGTATAATAATCCAATTCGCCAAAAAATTAATAAAATATTTGATAGCCACATAATAACAGATAAAAGTGAAGCTCTATATACGGTGTCAGGTTTGTGTTCAGCTAATTCATCGTATACAAGAAGAATTCTAGTGAATGAAATTGAAAAAAGAGATCTACTAGTAAATAAAACTGTTCTGGTGGAGTACAACAAAGTTAAAGACAAGTTACAAGACTTGCTAGACTCGATTTCTTCTCTGAATATTGCTGTTTCTGATATGTCCAATAGACTTCAAGAATCCAAAACAAAAACTCATCATATTATCACTCAAACGACTAAACTGAAAGAAGAAAGAACAAAAACAAAAAAGAAACATAAATGGGTAAATGCATTTGTCAATCAGTTTCAAATAGCGCCAGAGCAAATTAAGATTCTATACAATGTTTCACCCCTTACTTTAGATTTTTTTAACACTTTATCACAGATTGAAAAATTATATGAAAACTGCAAAGTTCTTGTCAAATATTGGTACCAAACACCAGCTTTTGAAATAATGGAAATGATAGGACTTCAACAAGAAGTTGCTATAGAGAAACTTTATCATTGGACTATTGGAGCCTGCCTTCTTGTTGATTCACCAAATAATCCTTTAGTATCAAAAGCATTAGTCAAATTTGAGAATAGACAGGTTCTGTTTTCAAATATTGTTGATGAGTATTGTACTGCCCGTAAAGCAACTGTCGTGCAAAGATTTATTGATGTTCTGACAAAAAGTGGTGATAAAGGCTCAAAACCAATAGAATTTTATGCTAATGATTCAAAGAGATATATAGGAGACATGCTAGCATGGGTATATCAGATAATACCTGTTGAGAAAGATAACCTCCACACATTATTTAAATATTGCTCTATCCCTGACAAAGATGAAAAAATAATAATGGCATTAACAAGTATTGTTGAAGCCTTGTGCTCATTATTAAAAGTACGAGTGGAACTTACACTAACACCAGATAAAGATTGTTTGGCATTGTGGTCGATAACTAATTTAATAATCTATTATAAAAATACTATTGAGATAGTAATTACCAAAGGTCACCTGATTGACACCTTCAATGAATTAGCAAAGAAAAGCCAAGATACATTTCTTATAGCTCTTGATAACAAAATACAAAAGGAATTGAGTCATGGAGTGAAAGCCCCACCATTGGACTTAAATCCATCTGTAGTTGTGACTAATTTAATAAGCTTTTTGAGGGATTTAATGAGTTTGTCTAACAACACTAATACTGCAGAGAAAAAAATTGTGATCACTCATATTTTAGATCCTCTGTTACATGCAATTAATGAAACTGCTTGTCATTTAAGCTCTACAGACATGTCTGTTTACATGCTAAATTGTATTTATCACATACAATGCACTTTATCATTATACACTATCCTTGATGAATATAATGAAAGATTACAAGCTCAATCTGAGGCCCAAATTGACACTTTGACATCAGAACAAGCCAGTTTTCTTGTTGCAAATTTAAACATGGGTCCAATTTATACAATCTTGCAAGAAAAAATTAATGGACCTCTATCAGCAATACCTGGCATGGATACCTCAACACTTAAAACATTTTTAAACAAGTTTGATATGTTTCTGTTATCACCTGATGTTTATATTTTACCACAATTCAATTTGCTCATAAGTCATAATCATAAGTCAGTAGTTAAGAAAAGAGCTTTTGAAGTAATTTTTGCTATATATGAACAACTGTATAAAGCAATAAATGACCCTGCTAATAACTATGTAGAACCTCACGAAATTGTTCATAGAACTCCAGAAGATGTTAAAAAAATTCTGTTAAACTAGAACTAGTTTTCTTTGGTATTTTTTATTACATTCTTTAGTCAGTTTATAATGATTGTGCTGCAAACATTTTATCCTGGTTGTAATATTTGATTATATTTGGTGCTTTTATTTAACAGCCATACTATTTTATCTTAGTAATACCCTGGTACATCAAACTGTACCTATCATAAGTTCTTTTCTTTAGTTTATTGTTTCTAAAAATATACAGTTGTATCACAGTTATTACTTTTGTTTTTTTGTCTCACCCTCGCAAGAATTTTACGCCGATTAAGATTTGCAGTGGTTATCATAAAAAGTAGGTTGCATTTGGAATGGATTCAATGTTAATTTGGAATATCTTTATTGGGCACTAAAAAGCACTTCAACACAAGCAGTGATACTTATATTCTATATACTGATGCCCCTTTATAGGTATTTTCCAGTAGGTTCATAGATGAGTGCAATAACTTTTTAGAAATTGGTCGTCTCCGCTGCTCCTTCATGAAAACGCGCGACCCCTTACTGCACAATAGACAGTCTCCAAGCTGCTGTTTGTAGATTGAGTAGTAGACTTTCTGGAACGGTGAGATTAATAATAATAAACAAGTACATATACAACAAAAAAACTACATGCTTACATTTAGGTGGACTCTTGACTCCCACAATAGGTTATCCTGTATTTCAGGAGCCAATCCCATTACCCTAATTAATATACACTATTTCTTGACCGAGCTTTGCTTGGTATTTAAAAAAAAGGAAAAAATAAATATGTAAAAAAAAATGATCGTGACACGAACCGCGGCCTTCTGTTTCGGGGCCGCCCGATTACCAACCGAGCTATTATAACATTGTTTTTCGGAAATTTACCGTCATATTCGAAAGATATTTTTCATCCCTGAAAACAGGGATAAAACGACATTTTCTAAAAATGAAAAACGAACATAAGCAATAAGAGAAATCTTAATTTATCACCTTGCATGTGATTTCATCTATGTATGATATTCATTGCAATGTCTCCGCAACGCCATCCGGCGGGACCCCCGACTGTGGGTCCAACGTATCTAAGTCCCCTTCCTCGACCGGGTCGATGAGGACGTTACGCGGGCGACGCTTGTTGACGTTCGCGTTTGTGTCGGGTTGGTAATTTGCTGCGTTTATCACCAGAGCTATTTAAGAATTTTAAGAATTTTATTTTAATTGTCTGGGCCCATGGCGGATTTGGGTTTTAAATTTTTAATAATGTCTTAGACGTGCGATGGCTCGATATCGTCTAGGAGAGTGTCCCACGCGGTATGTCGGTGTTCCAATACGCGATCTTGGACTTCTAGCTGAAGGCGTCGAAATAGGGTTCGGTTCGACTCTGATCGGTGTCGGTCGAAAGCACGTTTGGTTGCATTTTTTTGTCTAATTAGCAGTCGCAGATCAGATTCGTGGCTACGATTTGTACGGAAGACTGTTGAGCAAAATGCATGAAACCTGATCTGTTACTGTGAGCTAAAACTCGATTACGAACTGTAGTCGTTGACGTTTGTTATCTTTCTCCCTAATCTCGTGTACGTTGGGAACGCTCAGACCTCGATTCCCTAGTGTGAATTTGTATATTTATATTATTATACTCTTCAAGCCACTGCAAACACTCTACTTGACTCTCTCCGACTTGTAAGATGATTTTCAGTTTCCGGTAAAGATTCCTCATTATGACGTATTTTTAATGTCCTCGCCTGGGAACTATTTCTAGAAAGATGAGATCTTGATCTTTTGGGCATTTTAAAATAATAAAAAAATAAAACTTCCTTAGTATTTAATAATTTGCTAACTGTTGAACAGGAATTACCAGTGTAAATGTGATTGAAAACTTATAAGAACTACTAAGTCAGTCACTAAGCTGTTTGGATAGTTAAATTACAATACACTAACATTTTTAAACTTGCAATATCTAAGGAATGGAATGTCCGAATCTAATAATTCAAAAAGTTTTATAAAGATATTGAAACAGTCTTAAATATGAAGTAATTTATTTTTATAAGGATTAATACCAAGATACAAATAAACAGCCTTTGTTAGCGGCGGCATTTGAATCAAAATTTTAAAATAAAAGAACACTTATTGTGGCATAACTATAATAGTTGGACATATACTCTCGCGACACTTTTTTTAAATAATGATGTGGTCCGCAAAGTCGTAGTACATAATTTTATTCTATCATCAATAGTTTTCGCAGCCCACGCGATGTAAAGAATATTCTAGGTAATTTTTGTACACCTTGAGTAACATTAATGGAGTTTTAGTAAGGATCCCTAATTTTTTTGAAAATATTATATAGCCTATGTCAAGCAGGGATAATGTAGCTTCTCAACAGTGAAAGAATTTTTCAAATCGGTTTAGTAGTTTCGGAGCCTATTCAATACATACAAACAATCAAATCTTTCCTCTTTATATAATAGAGATAGATAAATAATTATAATGTAAACAATGCGTTAAATCATTGCTCATGCAAATGCATCATTACATGAAAAAAAACGTACTGAATCTGGTGAACAATAACATGGATGTGCATGCGGAAGAGGCCTGAGGGTTAAAAATAATAGGTTATTTTATCAGTTATCAAATCTAACGCACGCTTATAACCTGACCTGACCCTGACTGTTCACTGTTGCATTTTCGCCATTTTCTTCTTCTTCTTTCTTTCTTTATGGCTTCTCTTGAAAGAATTCTGCCAATGTACAGTCAGTCATGACAAGAGAATAATTTTTGTAGAGAAGACGAAAAGTTTTTTTTTTTTGCAATTTTGTGCAATGCTTCACAATCTACAACAAAACAAAAGACACAACATATAATAAACCACCACCATAGTTAAGTAATAATTTTACAGTTTTATCTTATTAGTAACTATAAAGTTACATAAAATATGTACAAAGGGAGAAAATAAAAGAGATAACAAATGGGAGCGCCATTTTCTTTATCTTAAATAGAGAGTGACAGTGACAGGTGGTGACAGGCTTGTGTTTGTTGTTAACTGTTATTTTTGCACTTATTAATGTTTGTCAAAGTAGGATCAGTTTTTTGTAATATTTTTGAAAGAAACCAAAGCTTTTTAATATATTCAAGAATGGCTAAAAGTTCCTTTGAATACGTGAAAAATTTTGAATCAGACGATACTTTGTTACCCAACACATGGATAGTTGTAAGACTTGATGGAAAATGTTTTCATAAATTTTCTGAAGACCACAATTTTAAGAAACCAAATGATATACGTGCATTGAAATTGATGAATTACGCTGCTTTCACCGTATTCAGAGAGTACAATGAATTGGTAATGGCATATGGCCAAAGTGATGAGTATTCTTTTATTTTTAAAAAACAGTGTACACTTTACAAAAGGCGAGCCGCGAAACTTTTGACTACAGTAATTAGTAAATTTTCTTCTTCGTATGTTTTCTATTGGAAAAAGTATTTTGGAGAAAAAGAATTAAAATATCCTCCTTCATTTGATGGTCGAGTAATATTGTATCCAACTGATGATAATTTGATTGACTATATGAAATGGCGCCAAGCCGATGTCCATATAAATAATTTATACAATACTACATTTTGGACTTTAGTCCAAGAAGGCAAGCTGAGTCCGGCTCAGGTATATATATTTAATATTTTGTATATTTTCTATACAGAATGGATAACTTTGTATATATTTATTTCAGGCAGAGCAAAGATTATGTGGCACAGTGTCGGGCGATAAAAATGAAATATTGTTTAAAGAATTTAAAATTAATTATAATAATGAACCAGAAATATTTAAAAGGGGTACACTTTTGCTGAAGAAAAATATAAACCATTTGTCCAAATATACCTCTATTATAGTTGATACTCATGATGATATGTTAAAAGATAATTTTTGGAAAGAACACCTTAATCTACTTGAGACAAAGCCAAAACAAAAATTAATTCATAATGGACCCGTTACTGAAATTATAAGTGAACAATTAGAAGACAAAAACGTCAAGTCTAGTGCAACTGATACCTCATGCATTTGATATTAAAGTACAGGTGCAGTAGTATACTAGTTGTGGAGAACAATATTATAAATTTCAATTTTGATAGTGTACACCAATCTGATTTTCTTTTTAACGGATTTATTCTGTTTTCAAATTAATAGTTCTCTATCTGCCAAATAAATAATATTGACTGATTTTCTTATATTGAAGTTTTCATTTGAATCCCTTAAATATAAACTATGGTTGTAAACCCGGTCAATGTTATGCATTGTAATCGGATCAATTATTCTAGGAAAATTGTTGTGACCATAATATTTGTTGTTTAAAATGTTTCTAGAAACAACATTTTGAAGGATTTAGAGATTTATTGATAGTTAGCAGGTAGTTAGAGATTTATAGTAGTTCCAGTTACGCACAGGCCCCTTTGTCAGACACTCATAAATTTATCTATTTGCCAGCCCTCTGGTATTACAGATGTTCATCGGCAGCGGTGATCACTTATTATGAAGAGCCCCCTGCTCATTTGTTCCTTTTTACAAAAAAGATTTTTTTTATTTCTTAAACATGCCAATTTTTTCATATTTTCAATACTTTCTTCCAAAAGAAAGATCAGCACCTTATCACATTTAAAAGTGGGTCCCACTATTCACAAATGACCAGATGATGTCATATTGGCAAGGTACTGTAAACTTATTCCTGGTGAGAGCCTGATGGCCCAACATTGTCTTCTTGTCATGGACTATTTCTTTACCTCAAACAAGAAAGTAGCAGAGAAAGACAAACCAAGAATTAAGTGGTAGTTGCTGAATGGACCTATGAAGAAAGACTTCCTGGCAGAGGTTGAAAGTCATAAGGTCTTAACTTACGCTGAAACTGCCCAGGAGGCTTGGGATGGAGCCTAGACGACAATTATCACGGCGGGGCGGCTCGTTGTTTCAAAGCTTATCACCAATGCACAATAAGCTAGAATCTATACAAACTGGCACGTGCCAGGGATAAAGCGACACAATGTATCACCAAATAACTTGGTGTCAGGTATTGGCAAAGAAACTATTTCCAGGAGCTGCTGAAAAATCACCATCCGCACTGCCGTCCATCCAAACCGCCCCTTCGGAGTTATTGCCCCTGGTGATATGGCCTGACGAAACTCGGGAATGTCTCCGCATCATAAAAAACCGGAAAGCGGTGGGGCCTGACGACATATGCGTAGAATGCAAGCGTGGAAATCGTTGGGCTCTTTTGGTGTGGAAGTGCTTACTGATTTCTTCAACCGTATCTTTAACACTGGAAAGATGCCGAATAAGTGGCGTTTCAGTTTTAACCCCTATTTATGCAAGATTTGAGAAGTACGGTAAGATCGTTTTGACTACGTAATGGATTTTATAAATTATCAAAGCCACGTCATTAAAATAGGCCTCTATTTTAATGACTTGCTGAAATCATATTTTTGGGATGGCTTATCGAAGCTTGCATTTCGGTGGTACAAAGGTTATGGCAATTATAGAAAAATAACTGACTTTTGAAGTGAAAACTTCTATAGGTGCGCACTTTTTTAGGTGCCTAACTTATACTTGAGCAGTTGTAGCGATTGACCACAAGTTTGCTATTACCTTACTGTTAACGTACTTTACACCCTACCACTAAAATACAATATTAAATTAAGGCTAAACAAAGTTGTAAATAAACTCAAAAAAAAAAAAAAACACACTGCGTCTCCGACATGAAAGTTTCGTTAGGTACCTTTTTCAATTTGTTTTCTTTGTGCCTCGAGGACTCTTTCTTGAGTGGCGTGCTAACGCAACGCCCAAGAAGCAAGCATCTTGCCTTCTGTGCAATTATAGTTCTGTTGGTGACTTTCCTGTGGCGTTATATATTGCATTCACGTATCTAAAGAGGTACGTTTGAAGAGCTCAATATCACAGTTCTCTCTCATAAATTTTTCATTGTCCTTTAACACAATTTCACCGCATTTTTCCAGCATCATTAAATGATGTGATGGCTATACCATTATTCTTCATAAAGACAGTAAAGTGTGAACTTGTTAAAGGGAGGCCGTTGTCAGACACTTCTTGTTATGGTAACCCAAAACGTGAAAATATTTCTCTTAATACCTTTATGACACTACTTGCTGTAGTACCTATGTGTCATCTGAAATGCTTCGATCCGCTTGGAAGAGGAATCAACTCTAACTAAAAGTGTCTTCGCCTTGAATGGACCTAAAAATTTATAATGTAGTCTGCTACATGATTCTGGGTCATGGTTGTGGTGTCGCCCGTGGTGGTTTTGCTGCCTTTGACGAACACGCATGACAATGTTCTCTCAATGTTGGCATCAATTCTGGGCAACCATACGTAGCTTCTAGCCAACCCATTCATTTTTACAATACCTATATATCCCACGTGTAACTCACGTAATACTTTAATACCTTCTCAGGGACTACCATCCTGTATCCCCACATGATACAATTTGCATGCAAGTAGAGTTAACAGAGTTTGGGCCATCCTGATTATAAATACATAATAATTTGCCTTAGTATGGGATCAGATTTATCTTTCTCCGAAAGTTGTTCAAATGTTATTGGCAACAATGATATTATAAACAAACCTACTTATAAGACACTAGTGCAACGAAATTGAGGAACTCAAATTACACCAATTGGTGTAATTAGATTGCAATTCTATAGAATGCTATTTCTTTCCATATCATCTGTCAAATTCACTTAAATATGTCGTATAATGTAAAACAGATCAATTTTTAAACACCACGCATTTTGGACATGTGACATCTATATTATGAAACATCATTTATAGGCAAAAAATGTACATAATGTTCAAATGTTTTTTCACATTTTACGTTTCGTGGCTTTCCGATAGGTAGCCTAGATACGGCGTCTGCTCCATTCCTGTAATAATATTACAGCTCACATCTGTAGGCGACTTGCGGCCATGGTCAGGATGCCTTTTTGGCTACTAATGGTTTATGCTGCACAATAAAACTTACGACCGTAGATATAGGCACTGGTGATTTTTTTACACCAAAACAATTGCCAGTGCTTCTTTTTCTATTTCCGAGTAATGCCCCGCCGCTGTGTTGAGTAACTTAACTGTAACGTGTAAGCAATAAGTCGCCATCCATCGGCCATTCGCTGTGAGGTTATAGTAGTGTGCTAACACAACGCGGGATGTTAATATACTCTTTCCTTTATTAAAGGCGTTGTTCCCTCCAAATAAATTGAGATTTTTTTAACCTATTATAATTGCTGATAAATTAATTATGCTTATAAAGTAAAGTAAAGTAACAGCCTATACATGTCCCACTGCTGGGCAAAGGCCTCCTCTATAGAGATGGTATCAGGACATAGTCCACCACGCGGCCCCACTGCGGGTTGGCGGACTTCACATATCTTCGAAATATATTTTTTTTTGTTATTATTTCGAAAATATGCAGGTTTCCTCACGATGTTTTCCTTCACCGCGGAGCACGTGATAAGTCAGCACTTAAAGTTAAAACCTTCATTGGTGCCGGCACCGGGGATCGAACTCAGGTTGCTCGAGTATATTGAATTAAAGGCGAGCGCCCGGACACTGAGCTATCACGGCTCTTATTATGCTTATGTTTTAAACAAATTTGGCATAATACATCACCATACCTAAAAAGATCGTATTTCGCTAATGTACGGTGTAATTCGGTATGCGTACGTGTGAACCCCCTCTTTACTTATTATAAAATTTAAATATGTCACCAAATTGGCAGAAAATGTACACTTTTTCTTCTGGATTTTTAGCTCGAAATACCTTAATCTTTCCATGACTCATATACAGTATCTAAATGGTCTTTATCATTTTTACCAGTGAAAATAACGTCATCCAAAAAACTCATACCCTGGGCATATCAGAAAATATTTGGTCCAATATGGGTATAAAAATACCGGGGCGGGATGAGATTCCGTAGAGCAGTCTATTATATTTGTACAGTCCCTTGTGTGTCGAACTGTATATTTTTTTGAATTTTCATCTAGTTCAAATTGCTAATATGTCTGAGAATTTGGTTAAAGCGTCAGGGCGCGAAGCGTAGAAAAAAGAAACCTTTCGTTCCTTTTTTCTACAAATTTTAATACCTAAGATAAGACTATTTTACTTAATTTCTGGCCTCCGTGTAACTTTGTTAATAAGTCTCCTACTCGCGATAGAAGAAAACGATCCACCTCTAAGCACTTATTAATAGTAACTTTGTAATCACCACAAATTCTTTTTGAGCCATCTTTTTTGTCGTCGCCTAGTTGGAAGTCTCGACCGGCGTGATAATGCCCTCGCGTTCCAGGCGTTCTGGCTCTCGGGCCACCACCTTATGCATTGCGTAAGCCAGCGACCGTGCGCGCCTGAACACAGGTTGCGCATCGCAGGCTCACCAGTTAAACGACCGATACTGTCAGCAAAAACTTCAGAATATCTGGAATAATTTAATGAAATATAGTTTCTTCATTAAGTACAAGAGAACTATCCATCTTATTTGTTTTTAATAATAATAATAAGTTTATTTCCTTTTAGTTATACAATTTTGGACTTGGTGCTAATACATAATAATGTTACAAATAACTACAATAGATCAATAGCATCCGTCGCCGAACTAGGTTTTGCAAAACCTGTATTTCGGCTTTCGGCGCCGTTCCCCATATCAATAAAAGATGCACTGTATTAGACGGTAGCATGAGATGTACGTGATAAAAGGAAAAATATTAATAAAAGAAATTTGTGTGTGTGTGTGTGTGTGTGAGTTTAATCTTATCCTTTAAACGAGCAATTCTTGTATATATATATATATATATATATATATATATCGGAATCTCGGAATCGGCTCCAGCGATTTTCATGAAATTTTGTATGTGTGTAGATTCGGGGGCGAAAAATCGATCTAGCTAGGTTTCATTTTAGAAAATTTCCTTTTATCCCTGTTTTAAGGGAATGAAAAATATCATTCGAATATGACAGTAAATATCGCCGCAAAATAAAATGTTATAATAGCTCGGTCGGTAATCGGGCGGCCCCAAAACAGACGGCCGTGGTTCGTATCACGATCATTTACACACTTATTTTTTTTACTTTTTTTCTATACCAGATCATTTTCTTTATTTTTTTTATTTCCAGAATACATAATTTACAAAAAACAAAACCGAGCAAAGCTCGGTCCTCCAGGTACTGTGTAGTAATGAGAGCTTCAGTTTCTTCATAATTAAGTGTATATAGGTATTTAGTTAATGTTTGTTTACAGTCATATTTGTTCAAAGTATTAATTGTTATATATTTACTACATTTATTATAAAGACCAATGAATTTGTAAAAACGTTGCGCAAAAAATGTCCGATTTTGCCGGTTCTGATGATATATAATATCTTTACTCCTTTTACTCAATCTCATGTGGTCGGTTGAAGCTTCCAGGTGCTTCTTTAAAACAACAGATAATATAAATAGTTGCCTAACGGAGAGTACCTCGCAGTGATTGTATAAAATATTTGTAGGATACAGATATGGTTTGAAAGTAAAAATCTTTAGAATTGTTCGTTGAGCAACTTCTATACAATTCAGGTTCGTTTTAGGTATGCCTCCCCAAATAATGATACAGTATTTTATTAAAGGCTGACAAAGGGCTAAATAAATACGGTTCAGTAAATAAGATTCAAGAATATATCTCAATTTCTTAAAAACAGCTATAAGTTTTCGCAGTCTATTACTCACAAGGTTGTCACGTGTAATTTAAAAGTTAGATTATTATCTAAGACTATCTGAGACTTATTACTATTACATTGTACAGTATGCAAAGTAACGCCTAATTATTGTAACCACTGTCTACCGGGAAGCGGATTACTGCCACTGTGAAAAACAATAATTATATCCAGGTTCATATATTTATAGATATATTCTACCATCGGCGAAAGCTTTTTGTTACGGTTGGAAGTCAGTGCGAATGTATAATTTTGAATGCAAGTTGTTAACCACTCAAGCAAATATATTTAAAATATAACGGTCGACTTCCAACGCGGGTGTTACAAGTATAATAACAGTCTATTGTTTATACGTTAATTTATACATATTAATAAATTTAAATTTATTTGTGATTTGAGCTGTCTGTAGCGCAGACAAGACATTTCTGCAAATGTATTAAAAACCCACGTTATCAGGAAATCGGAAATAAAAAAGTAAAAATAACAGAGCGTCCACACTTGATCAACATTTATTCTTATGGTGAATCGAATATTTTATGTCTATCATCAAATACATATAAATATTTAAGCGCCTAACTTATACTTTAGCAGTTGTAGCGATTGCCCACAAGATTGCTACTATTTGACTAACAAGATTGTTAACATACTTTACAGTTAACTTACTTAGTTTTCACTTCTATCAACAGTCCCCATAGACTGCCTCGTTTTTTTTCATAGGTACTTGTAAAAAAGCCCTCGTACTTAAGTCAGTATATGAAAAATGCCACCAGTGGTTTTTTAAGCTATATAGGTAAATATAGCTTAGAAAACAATTGCACTTATTTTTTATTACCTATGTAATATATGGATATGTAATATATGTAAATATATGGATTTTATTAACGTTAATATTTTTTTATGATTATTGGCAAGTAGCGTTAGACGTGTGTTCATTTATTGTCGCGGTGGTAAAGACACGCTGTATATTTAAAACATGCATATTCTTCTTATTGTGTTGTGTGTGAATTGGTAGTAGTTTTTAAAATATATTGTAAAATTGAAACTACAAAAAAATATAAAGAGACCCAGAAACTAGACAGAAAGCAACTGGGATAATGAATAAAAAGATTACTTTAAACATTTTATTTTATCTAATACAACAATACTTCATGCTAACAATGATAAACATCTTCTAGTAGAATAATGTGCTGATAAGTTAATAAAATAATGGTTTCTCTATTAAATATTCATTAATTTTTTCTGAACTTTAACTAACATCAAGCAATATAATTATTTTTTAAGTGGTATTTCTTGGAAATTTTAAAAGATGAAGGATTAATCTTTTAGGTTACAATTTACTACAATGTTTTTAAAGAACAATAAATAAAATAATTGAAATATATTACATAGTTATAATATGCAATAATTTTCCCAGATAAATATCTTAAGGAGTTTCCAATAGAAGTTATACTAATTAATCAAATGACATTTTATTTCAAATTACTTAAGAATTTTTGTGTATCATTTTAATTATTTTATGACAATAAATATATTTATTTTAAACTAAGGAATGATTGGATAAATAATTATTATTTGTCATTATTTTTACAATATGCAATTTTAGTTTAAAAGTTGACACATTTATGATTTATATAGATTATAAATTCTTTGCTTATTATCATTATTTCCCATTCTTTTATATTTTGCAATTTTAAATAAACAACATATATAAATTGCAAATAATGGGAATAATGGTTTAATTATTGCTTTAGAAAATGGGAATGTAGTTGTCAATTTTTGCACGGTGTTTCTGGGCGACGCATTCACTTATCCACACAATATTTCTGCATTCTTGTTCCTTTAACTTTAGGTATGAATAGAACACCCCAAAGTGGAACTGTTGCAAAAAGGCATGCACATTAAGACTCACCTGAAAAATAAAATAAAATTAATAATTGAAAGTTAAACCACATGAAAATTATTTGTTTTGAATTTATCTATACCTCATGTTCAAAGAATTTGTCTTCCAAGGTTTTATCACCAACATTGCTGCCAGCACCTTCAAAAAGAGCAGAGTATTCTGCATAGTATTCAGCAACTGCTTTAACTTGTTCATAATCATCAGCTCTTGCAAGTGCAGCCAGCCCATCTGGATTCAGTTTTCCGCAACGGGGATACAATTTGGCACGGTCATCTTTGGACAATTCAGTGCCAAAAGAGTTTATAGTAATAATGATTGCACGGCGATCAGCTTCAAACTGTATTAAAATAAAAAAATATAACATAACTAACATTAGTTATTAGATAAGCTATAGTAAAACTGTTAATTTTTTACAAGATCTGGTATCCTTGGGGATTAATAATCTTAGAAAAATATACTTTCTTTTTTTACATAATCCAAAATGTTATGTAATCCTTATACAGTGTGTCGTTAAAAACACACATATAGAGGATAAATTTTTAAAATTGTATCAAAAATTTACATTCTTTAAACAATGAAATTAAAAGAGACAAAACATACTATTAGAAGGAGAGGCTTGGAACGCGACGCCGTGGCAACGAATGACTAAGTCTCTGAATGTATGAATCAGTCAGTTGTAGTTTGTTTGAAAAATATTTTTTTTAATTATGGATTTTTTTTAATGTTAATATTTTTTTATGATTATTGGCAAGTAGCATTAGACGTGTGTTCATTTATTGTCGCGATGGTAACGACACGCTGTATTTATATGCTTATATTTTCCTTTTATAATATTTTGTAATTTTTCCATCCCTTGCTGCATCTACCATAAGCTTTCATTACATCCTGGGTTGACTGGTAGAGAATACCTTTGGGTTTTAAGTCTATCCTATGTGACCTTTTTTCTTTCTTAAGGTTACCAATAAAGCATAAATAAATAGTAAAATAATAAAAATTGCTTATAATATTGAAATATTTAATTTCAATATTATAAGCAATTTTTATTTGTTCTATATGTATAAAAATGAGTTCCTGTTTGTTAGTCTTGCTAAAACTTGTGAACGCCTGGACCATTTGCTAATTATGGTTTTGAAATATTTGTGGTAGTCCAGGGAAGGTTTAAACACTGAGAAATTATGAAAAAACTGCATGGAAAATTGAAAATTCTTTTTCTATGCGTTCAGATTCACAAATTTTCTAGAAATAATCTTTATGGAAAAACAATGTTTGCCTTTAATATTATACCAACATAATAAGAAAATAAGTGCTTAGTTTTGATGTACCAAAAATAACTTACTGCTAAAATTTCACACATAACATCAGCAGTTGTTCCACCAATTTGCTTGCAGAACTCATAAAAAGCTTCCAAGTATGCCTTGTAGAGGGTATTACGGATGATCTCAATATTCATTTCATCAAGATCTTGTTCACTGATGCAATCAACAAAGAATGGGGCCAATGGAGTGTCGACAAGGACTGCATTGTACAATTCGGCCGGAGTAGCAGCAACATGTATAGCTTCCATTTGTTCAAATGATCCTAATGGATGGCACTTTGGAATGAGCTCAGAAATGGGTCTTTGGTGTAGAGTACCAGTAATCAACAGAATGATGTTATCAATCATATAGCTATAAGTGATGAAGTCCAGGAATGTAGACAAGGGCTCAACAGAATGATTTCTCAAATGTTGGAATTCTATTACCAATTTTTCACGAAGCTTGTCATCAATTGTCGAAACAGCCAATGGGCTGGGCTCATTGGCGAGAAAAGTGCCATAGTCGGTACCTTGCAAATGGAGCTTCAAATCTGCAATGAGTATTGTTTATATTATATAAATTGCTCACCATTTTTAAGACAAACGGAATTAAGCAGGCGTTGTAATATTTAGGACTACCGAAACAATTATTATCTATTTAAATGCTTACCCTCCAATGTTTCGCACTGTACCAAGTTCAAGTAATCAGATTGTTTCAGAATTCCGCACTTGAAACCACGACACAGCCCTTCTAGATACCCCCCGTCGATGTTGAAAATACACCCCTTCATTTTTATATAAACCTCTTTTCAATTATTTTAGTATGTACAAGTCTAATCGATAGGGGATGCTAGAACTAGAGAAGATAAAATTGGTACGAAATGAACAAAATGATTTGATCATATGATACACCCATAGATGAATATTTACAATAGACAATTTTTTTTTTAAATTGTAGGATACAAAACGTGACTTTTTCAGTAAATGTACTGTAATTTGGAAAAACAATAAAATTTATAAATTATTTTTGGTTTATCTCAAAACAAATTAACATAGGCGTTAGTACTAATTAACTAACACAGGAGATAATTATTTCAAATACTTTTTGGAGGGATTTCGAAAAAATATCAATATTTCGATATTTCTGATAACGTAAAAATAATATGCTTATTGATCTTTTTAGCCGATATATTTTAATCCGACATATCGATAGAAAATATTCAATATCGAAATCATATTAAAAACTATTAGTGACCTTTTTATAACTATTCAAGGGTGATTTTTAATATCATGAATATCGATGTTTCTAGATGTTCTCAAACGTTAAAACATCGGTACATCGACGGTAGGCTTTTTAAAGATAAATGAGGGTAATTCTACGTTTAATATGAATTAAATATTCATATTAAACGTAGCATAGTCGCCCTGATGTAGCTTTACAGCCTACCGCATTTTGTAATATTGCTTTTAGCTATTATAATAATAAAAATTTAGGTATTTTCAGATTGGATCCATTATTATCATAGCAATGTACCAATACTCAAAAGGATTCCAAGAGGCGCAATGATGCCGAGTCATTATCAGCCTGTGTTCAAAACTGTTTCTTAAATACTGAATCTAGTTGGCATAATTTATCTTTGCGTTTTTGCATATTAATTCCCAATTAAAAAGCAATACATTCAAAAATTATGAGTTTAAGAAATTTATAACTAAACATGTCCGTAAATTCGATTTACGGAGAACTGTTGAGACTAAAGTTATGGATGGTTATATAAAAAAATGCGTCCCGCATTTTATTTTCAGATGAAATCCTTACTCTTTATAATGATGAATATTTATTTTTTATGTGAGAAGTTGCCTAACGAGTTAAGTGAATACCACCGTCCACGGACATCTGTTAAAAATTGGGCATCGGCCACCGCACTTACCAGACGAAACGCGAAAGTAATACGCGAAAGTAAACGCGAAAGTAATACTATTAACAGTTAATGTATATATATATATATATATATATATATATATATGCTGTTGTTCTTTCTGTAACTTGGATATTCACTTAAAGAGCGAGGTATATTATAGTACTGGTTACGAAAAACTATATGAAGAAAACAATTAATTTACAAAAAGAATTATGTAACGAGAATTATTAATTGACGGGAACACAATTTTTACAGAAGTAAACAATTCGCGAAAACATTTAATTTTCGAAAAAAAGGTTCGTAGTTAATTGACGAGAAGCGCTGGAACATTCCTACTTGCGATAGGCGTTGAATCAAGGAAATAGTTGAATCAACCGTTGAACTCTTGTTAACGAATTAACTTTAACTGTCATTGATATTGAATATATTGTATTGATATCTATACATCTATAATAATAAAGATAAATAAAATTGGAATGTCTGTCGCTTTTTTTTTAAAAACACGGACATGGATGTATGCACGGTACATACCCAAAATTACATTTTTAAAATTTTTATCTGTATGTCTGTCTGTTTGTTCCGTCTTATCTCTGCTAATCTCTAAATTTCTATTTATTATGCCACACGGCCGACGTCGCAGGCACGGCTAATATGGGATAAAATATATTGGCTAAAAATATCGACATATTGAATGAAAAATATCGATATATCGATACTTTTTCTACTAACCTACGTGCTGTATATAAAAAAATTACTTCATGTTAAAATCAAAATAAAATAAAATATTAAAAACTATTAGATAGTGAGAGAATATTTTTCTTTTTCAATTAAAATTAGAATCCAAAAATAAATTTAAAAAGCTAGTGATCTATAAATGTCATGTTTTTGTTTTTACGCTTGTCAATGTTGAAACTTCAAGAATTAATATATAAAAATTACAAACCAATCGAACCAATAATATATTATTAAGTAAGAAGCATCGCATCAAGCATGAACATCATTTATAAAAGTATTGTTAAAGAAAATGTTCTTATGCGAGGTTTGCTAACATTGAAATTTTAATTTGCGTAATTTGTAAATTGTCTCTATAAAATTATTGCTACTAATTCAAAACGAATGTTTCTATTTCCAATTAATTCGTAATGACAAAAACATATCAATTAGAAGTTAAAAGGAAAAATTATAATGTTTACTTAAGTGAAAAGAATAATTATTTAAAGGTACAATATAAATTGTACAAGAATAATTTTCGTTAAAACTAAGTACAGGGGTGTAAAGTGGATATAAATCAAGATAAATTGTCTAACTACAAACAATATTTTTTTTACAATAAATTAATGGAAGATATCTATTTTTAGCTAAAACTACTCTCATTTATTTGACCTGCAAACATTCCCATGATGCTAAGGAAGAAATTGATGCAACTAAAAGAGAATCTAAACGCATGGCAGAATTTCGTAAGAAACTTAGAGAAACCACTCCAATTCAAGATCTTGGAGACCAGCCACAAGTATCACAACAAGATGCTTTACCAGCGTGGCCCAATAACACTAATCCTCATACAGGTGAAGTGGGTGGTCCTCGAGGCCCCGAGCCTACACGATATGGTGATTGGGAAAGGAAAGGAAGAGTATCAGATTTTTAGAGATGTATGCAGTATTGTTGAAAAAAGTCAATAGTAAATTAATGTTTTTTTTTCTAAATTAAAAGAATGTGTTGTACAGTTTTATTTATTGTTTGCTGATTTTCCTAATGTTTTGGGCATTTTTTTATTTGTTGAATCTTCTAACTCATTTGACTTATAATAATGAGGTGCTACTTCCAGTAGCCATTTACTTTCAATTTCAGTAACTTGCCTCATAAATTCTTTTGATGTAAATACTAGTTCATGGTATATAACCCATCTTGGTAATTCTTCAAATAAAGCACTATTAGGATGTATCATAACTGTCTGTAAAGTAAGAAAAAATAGGTTAATAACTATTAAAGGTAAATATTATGTTGAATTACATTGTTACTTACTTGATTATTTTTTACAGTTTTATAATGACCTCCTTTTGAAAATTTTGCAATGTGATAAAAATATCCAGCTGTTATAGCTTTACGAATATTTGCATCATCAGATATGCTAGATACCATGTCAATCTCTACTCTTTCCATTAAGCCAACAAGTTGTTCCCGAACATCTCTAGCCCTTTTCATAGATCTATACTGAATGAAATTTTCGTAACACCACTGTACTGAATAGTCCGATCCAACCCATTGGTTATACACATTCATTAAAGTCAAATGGTCACCATTTCTATGAAAAAAATTTTTTCTTGCTGTATCAGCATGTATAATTTTATCTTTTGGTCTATAAAAAACAGAACTGTTAACTGATAACATAGCAGCAATGCTAACAATTTCTTCCGAACATTTGTACCTGAAAACAAATATTTTATACTTTCACTCAAAATTATTTCAAAATTTATTTTTTGTAAATGTTTGAAGTGTTAGATGAAATTCAGTTACTTTTTTTTTAATTTATTGATATATTATTTCTGAAGCTTTCCTATGAGTATTAAATGACTTAAATGTTAAGTATCAAAATTAATAGAAAATATAAAATTTAAAATAGTAATTTTGAGAAAAAAGAATAGCTTACTTTTCACTGGCCAATAACATTTTAGCTAACATTGGGTCTGTAGGGAATTCGGCCATTCTTCTGCCGGCTTTAGTTAATTCTCCATGGTGATTGAGAGCCCCAAGAGCATAAAGCTGTTCCAATGCCAGAACTAATGTTTCATGTGGAGGTGGATCAAGAAAGTCAAAATGTATAAGATCATTAATTCCTAGGGCCTTTAAAGTTAAGACAGCATTCCCTAAATTAATTCTTTGAATTTCTGGAACAGTATTATCTTCTAGTTCGTATTTGTATGCCCAAGCAGTATAAAGCCTAAAGCACTTGCCGGGGGCAACCCTTCCTGCTCTACCAGCTCTTTGATTAGCAGATGCTTTTGAAATAGGTACCACCATTAAACTTTCCATTCCAGTTTTAGAGTTAAAATTGTTCTGCTTTGCAAAACCGGGATCAATAACATATATGATATTATCTATTGTTAGTGATGTTTCTGCAATATTAGTTGCTAAAACTACTTTTCGGGCTCCCTCTGGGGTTGGCTCAAATATTTTTGCTTGCATATCACTTGGTAAATTTGCATAAACAGGTAATATTAAAAGTTCTTTAATCTTTTTTCCTAATCTTTTAGTTCGATCTTGTAACATTTCTACACATGTTTCAATTTCTTCTTGACCTGTAAGAAATACTAATATATCTCCAAGTGGCTGCGTTGCGTGTATTTGTAATACTGATACAACACTGGCATCAACATAATCAGCTTCTGGGGCTTTTGTGTAATAAATATCAACAGGAAATCTTCTCCCGGGAATACGAAATATTGGTGCTTCATCAAAAAAGTTTGAAAATTTTTCAGCATCTAAAGTAGCACTAGAAATAAGTAGCTTTAAATCAGGTCTAAATCTAGTGATGTCTTTTACTAAACCAAATAGAATATCAGTGTGCAATGTTCGCTCATGAGCTTCATCTATTATCATAACACTATATGAAGCTAAATCTGGTTCTGATAAAAATTCTCTATGTAGAGTCCCATCTGTCATATATTTAAGAACTGTTCTATCAGATGTACAGTCTTCAAATCTAATACTGTATCCAACTTCATTTCCTAATTTAACATTCATTTCTTGAGCAACCCTTGCAGCAACAGACATTGCAGCTACTCTTCTTGGTTGAGTACAACCAATTTTCTTGCCATCTTTAGTAAAGCCAGCCTCATGTAAGTACTGTGGAATTTGAGTTGTTTTACCTGACCCAGTTTCACCTTCAACAATTAATATTTGATAATTATTTATAGCTTCAATTAAAGATTGTTTAAAGGGGAATACTGGAAGTGATTTTTTAGTTTCTGCAATTGTCATGCGTATTTTTTGATATTCTGATTTCTCTTCATCCTCTTTCTTTTCTTTATTGCCTTCTAATTGAAGAGCTTGAATAAAATCAATTTGTTCATCAAGCAAAAGTTCATATTCATCTTGAGCTTTTGCATCTTTAGCTCCAAACTTGAAAAATGCTGATTTTATCTGTTCCTGTTCCCACTTGCGTTGTTCGGAATGCGGTAATTTTTCATTTTCATCTACTTCAATATACTCTCCTAAAAGTAACAGAGAAATAATAAATGGTAAGAAGTTATTTAGTAAAAAAATACTATTATTTAAAGCAAAAGCTATTATAATCTATAACTTAAATAGCATTGAACATTATTCTTTTCAGGGGTCTAGGGACATACCTTTTTCACCTTTACCTAAATCTCTTGGCATGTGATATCTTTGTACATTTTCTAGTTCCCTTGCTTTTTCATGTTCTTTAGCCAATAATAAGATGGTTTTCTTATGTTCTCTCTCTTTTTTTTCTCTTTCTGTTAATCTGTTTTGAATAAATTATGTTAATTATTAAAGACAATGTTATGTTTTTGTAAATGCAAACATCAAAAAAATTGTAAAAAAAGGTACTTACATACTCTCATCAAATAAATATTCATCATCAGCTATATCAGCTTCTAATTCAATAACTTTGTCTTCCTTTCTTTTTTCTAAATACTTTCGCCTCGATTGAACTCTAAGTTTCGGTAATATTTTCGTTCTGTCTTCTGCTTCCAATTTCAATCGCTTCGCTGCTTCTTCATAAGATCGTTTACTGGATGATTCACTTACTTTTTTTGTCTTTTCTTCATCACGTTTCTTTAATCGTTTTGCAAACTCATCACGTTCTTTAAGATCTTTTATTCGGTTTTCTTCAGCACTATCAGAATCTGATGATGTATGCTGGCGTTTCCCACGTTTCTCCATTTTCCAAGGAAATTGTTGAAAATATGAAACGAATAAAACCTTGGATTTGTAGAAAATAAATAAATATGTATACAGAGGTTAAAGAAAGGGTATGGATAACTCCATATAGGAATATACTTAAATAACCGCGTAAGTGCATACAATACAACAACAATGTCCAATATTTATTCAACAATTCAATTGTGACTTTGACGTTGACACTGACAGTTAACAACATTTTTTTCGGTTTAGGCATTTTGGTTTTTAGATAGATTTAATCTTGTAAATATTAGATCAATAAAGATTATTTTATCACAATGGTTACAATATACGATATACTTTGATTGAAACTTTTCTAAAAGACATGTCTTTTGGTTTAGGCATCGTAAATGTCAATGGCAAAAGTAATCCGTAAGTAAGTAAATGTGTCCTAATCACACAAGTAGATGCGGAACGTATATTATTGTACGAAATTTTTCAGATTCAGATAAATTGTTATTTTTCATCAGTGATAAATTAAGCTGCTGTTATGTCTCTTTTATTTAACTACTAGCGAACTCTTCATATGTTGTGCTGTAGACACAACTTAAATACGACAACTTATAAATAAAAAACATTTAAAAAAAAGTTGTAGTGTACCGAACTGTGAATCTAAACCCTTTTCGAATCAACTTGAAGACACACAAAAATATCATTAAAATCGGTCTAGCCATATAGGAGTTCAGTGACATACACACGTACAGTAGAATTATACATATACATAAAGAAAATGATTCTGCAACTTCTCTTTGTTATTTTTGGCTTGATGGTCTACTGGTTTGTGATAGCCTTTTTTATTTATTTATTTGCTCTATGATTTTATTTTTCCTTTGTACCAAAGATTTGATTTTGCAGAGTGACTAAATATGTGTAAAAATATTGTGTTTCTCATTGTCACTGGATGCTAACATATTTAGTACAGGCCGTTGGAATTTCAAATTCCATGATAAAAGTTTTATGGACTGGTTTGTGATAGCCTTTTTAAATGGGGATTTCATGAGGAATTATTTTTTTAAAAGATAATTCAAATTAATGACTATGATGTATCTTGTAATGGAGTAGATTGTTATGGCCAATCTGTTGAATAATTATGTGATAGAGGAACGGGATTTTAGTACATCAACTTATGACTCAGCTAACAGTGCACGTGTACAAACGAAAAAAAACATCAATTGACGAATTAAATGATGGACTGCATTTTGCATTAGGTAATTTTAATCAAAAACTATGAAGCTCTTACGTCTTTTAATAAAAACAATAAGGAGAGTACAATATAACTTTCTGCGAACCATCCTCACATACTCATCACACCTGCGCCTCTTTACCTAAAATGAGTGAATTTACATGATTTCAAAACTCAATATGTTTAATTATTTAATACAGGTTTTACTACTGGTACCTCTTAATGTCATAACTATAAAAATTAAAACCGTAAATGTGTCTTCTCTGGGACTGTCTTTTATGACGCATTAGTACCTAAAAGCTTGATCTGTGTTAAAAATGTATTGCAGTACCGTGTTTAGGTAATACTTCTTAAGATTTCATTAATTCGTTTTACATGAATTTGTGTTACATGTATGTGATGTTTTTATATGAAATGTTCAGCACATTGACGAGTGCATATTGCTAGAGTGCATATGATTTAGAACAATCACTTATGATTTAATCAACAAGCAGAATTCTCCAGGCGCTTATAGTTTTCGTTTTCGAGATAAAAAATTATGAAATAGTGTAATTATCACTATAAAAATCCGCCATTTTGTTTTTGTCAATATATTAATTGTGCCCATATTTCTGGGTGGTTATAAAAATATAACCATGAACACGAACGGCGGGTTCGAGTTGGATTGCTCTGTCATTTCTGTCTCATTAAATTTAAAGAAAAAAAAATAATCGAACAATCGATACGAGTATGACGACGCCCGCTTCCTATATTTATCATGTTGGCAGGACTGTATTCAGTTCTTGAAGTCAAATTAATAAAATAGCAGACTTTCTTGGTGAAAATAAGTTTTAAATATTTTTTTCTCGAAAAGCGACCGGAAAATTATGCTTGTTAATTAATTAGTTAGTGTTTTTGCTCTATCGTTTAAAATGATTACAGATATTTTCAATTGCAATATGCGCTCCTCAATGTGCTGAGCATTTGCCTTTTATTTTAACTTAGGTCATGTATCTTAGTTTCGCAGGACTTCAATTACTATAATCCAATACATAAAATTCTTTATACATAACACGGTTATTAAATGTGAACTAAGAAGTTCTAATCAGCATTCCGTGGCCTGCATACAAATCTTTATTATATTGTGTACTTTGATTATATTCTTGCCTAGATAACCTATAAGCGTACCGAACGGCGTAAAAAAATGATTTTTCATGAAATGTTGCAACATCAAGATAATAAGAAAATATTATCCTGACTTGTAATATAAAACAAAAATATAATTTTTTTTCTATTATCCAATCAGTGAAAGTAACTGATACCGGCACACCTGTTTATACCTGACAACCCAGTAGTTCATCCAGGTAAATAATAGACAACCCAACGGCTGCATATTCTATATGTTAAAATATATACAGCATATCGTTACCATCGCGACAATAAATGAACACACGTCTAACGCTATTTGGCAATAATCTTAAAAAAATATTAACGTTAAAAAATCCATAATTAAAAAAAAAAATTTTCAAACACTAGTTAAGTAAAAAAGAAACAAAATTTGTAACATCTATACAACTATTTTCATTCATTGCCACAGCGTCGCATTACAAGCCTCTCCTTCTAACAGTATGTTTTGTCTCTTTTAAATTCATTCAACCCATTCATATACTTTGTGACCTTTACAAATGAACTTTACGTTACAGTTTTATACGTAAGGATGTTCTAAAATTCTTTGTTTTGGAAAATTTATAAAAGTAAATAATGATGTTTAAAGTCGTGATTGTAAAGACACGCTGTATAAAATATTCAGGATTTTTTTAGGCAACCCAGTTTTAATATATTTTTATATACTAAATTTATTATAAAATAAATTTTATTCTATTATCAGCTCGGTGAAGGTCGATTTAGATTCGGATCTTAGACCATTTGTTGTTAATAAAATAAAACTACTTTGATAGCTCAGTGCCGAGCGCGCGCCTTTTATTCAATATACTCGAGCAACCTGAGTTCGATCTCCGGTGCTGGCACCAATCAAATTGTTAATTTTAATCGTGATTATCTGACGTGCCCAGCGGTGAAGGAAAGCCTGCATATTTTTGATATGTGAAGTCCGCCAATCCGCTGGGATATGTATAGGCTGATACTATACTAATCTTCATAAAAATCACTTTATTCAACATATTTTCTTTAACTTTACACCTTATTACATATTGGGTAAAACTTAAATTAATAATTTGTAGCAGGTATCCCTAAACACGCGCACCTTGACAGTTTGTTTTTATTAAGTACACGAGCATCACTCACATATCACGCAAACGGAGACAGTTTTAGCGCGGCATTTGTTAAGCATTGCTCCAACTAGACAAGTATATAGTCAAAGATTGAGTATGTACATCGCATTTTGAATATGTAGTATCTAGGTTCTTATTTTGCAGAAAAGTTGCTGCACTTAGTATAGTTAATACAAAACGCATTGGCAGTTCATCATCATGGAAGGACAGTATTCTAGAAAATTCTTTAAAAATTATACAAAAAAAGGTAGAGTTTGTTCGAATACACGGACCGACAGCAGAAGAGGTAAAGTTGTTTTAAGGATATATAAGCTTTCTAACGTTAATTTTAACTTCTAGCATACAATTACATTAAAATCATCAGGTGAAGCACGATGTTAGCGCGGGCGAAATGAGGAGTTTAGAATATTGAAATTACTATATTATGTAATTACGAAAAATATATACGTTACGAAGTGGTAGGAGTGATTGAAGATGATACAGGCTTCAGTTCGTTCTTTTAATATACAGCGAAATTTACCTTAAACTACTTTTCTTAGTAGTTAAAGGTAATTTATAATAAAAAAAGGTTCATAGTTTAATGGTACTCAGGTCAATCAATAGCTATTAAGTACGAGTATATAAATATCAATTACTGTTGTACCTAGTTACCTATTTTTATGGTGGTCAATAAAGCATATATACGTACGAATAATATCTTAATAAATAATCCCTTACCACGACGGAGCTAGGTCACACCCTTCATCTCTGAACTCCAAGCCAGTCTCATCTGCATACGGTACTTCCTGCCGAACAACAAACGAGCCTCTGGCAAAACCGAACCGATGGCGGTATAACCACCAAAGGCCGAGACTAAATACCAAGGCCAGCGAGGGGTAGCAGCTTCGTCGGCACGAGACTCGGCCTTGTGCTCACCAAGCCATCTGCCCAGCGTGGTGAGTATGGGCTCAATCCCCCAAATGAATAGTGCCAGAAACAGACCCCAGTTCCCAGTAGCCCTCCTATTCCAGATTATGGAACTGGCTTCGGTCAGGATAGGGTGGGGGCTGCAAGCTTATCCTGGTGACAAACAACGGACACAGTTTACAACTCGACAAAAGCCTAGAACAACTAGAATTAGAAAAATATTAGGTGGCATGTTCTGGGGCTGTTTGAAGTCCGAAGACAGGGGTAGGACACGACGACCTTAGAATCTAGCCACTTAATTTCTATTTGCGAGAGGGCGACAAACAGTCTCAGGATAGTGTTGAATTCCTTGGCTAACAAGAGTCTCCGTCACAACGTGTTGAAGGTGTCCATTGTGTCGACACGCGTAGTTTATCTCGTCCTAAAGCTAACCGAGAGGTATTCCTCGTAGTCGTACAGGTATATGCGCCTACATCTTCGCACTTGGATACAGCAGTCGAGGCGAGTCAAGGCCATGGATAATGTCACCAAGACCCACTTTACTGTCATCATGGGAGACTTCAAAGCCAAAGTGGGATTGCAAAAATGCGATCGAAAAGCGCATTGGAATCAGGAACCTAAGGGAGCAAATGCTGGTCAACTTCATGGACATGTATGGGGCTGTTTAGGATGGACACCTTCTTTAAGGGCAAGTCCCATAGGAGATGAACTCGACACGGCTCCGACGCGATGGTAGGACGAAGAACGAGTTTGACTTAATCTTGATAGTACGCGAAGTAGAAACCAGGCACTTCGAAAGTAAGCGAGGCAGCCGAGAGTCTAAGTTGTCAGCGGGAGCTCTGAAACTGATGAGGATTTGACGTGATACGCCAGAGCGAGCTTTGCTGGACACTCAACGTCTTAACAAAGATATCCGCAAGTTACTAAGACGTCAACTCCGAATCTATAATAGGTACGCAACTCATAAGTGACGCGAATGACCGAAATCGGGGGTCAAAAGTCTTTGCGGAAAGACTACGTAGGAGCTATCTGACAAAGCTCAAAACCTCGGAAGGCAAGATGAAGACATTTACGGTTGCTTATACATCTCGCATGCTTCTAAACCTCCGCCTGACGCGAACGACCCGAGAGCCACAATGGGAGCCACTTTGGCTCTCAATGGCTCTCAAACACCTCTAAAGTAGGAAGGCACTCGTGGAAGATGGAATTACTTCCAAGCTTCCCAAAGCAGGACTCAAAAGCTATTGACCTCCTAGAATCGCGTTCCTAAGCCACATCTACAAGTTATTCTCGAGAGACCTCACAAATCGTCTCACCGTAAGACGCCTTTCAGCCATTGGAGCCGGCTAGGTTTCGGAAAGGCTTTAGTGCCATGGACCGCATTCACACAGTGAGACAGTTTATACAGAAGTGGCAAGAGTATATAATCAATATATAATCAGCCGCATTTGTGGACTACGAAAAAGTTTTTGATTCCATCGAAACCAAGGCTGATCTGGAATCCTTGCAACGCTACCAACTCGACTGGCGGTACGTGGATGTATTGAGAAGCCTGTACAGTATGGAAACGATGTCCGTCTAAGTACAAAACCAAAAGAATAACCGTAAGAGATGAGACAGGGAGATGTCATTCCGCCGAAAATGTTATCCATCGCACTGGCGTCTGTTTTAAAAACACTGGACTGAAACGGATTGTGCATCAACATCAATGGCGAATATCTCAGTCACCTCTGTTTTGCCGATGACTTAATTTTAATGCTGGAAGCAATGTAAGATCTGCAAAAAATTCTGCAGTCTTAATTCTGCCACATCGTCGGTCGGTCCCAGGATGAACTTGGACAAGATTAAGGTCGTGATCAATGAGCTTGTCATTCCAGAACAGATTTCGATCAACGGCGAAGTGATCATAGTTCTTGAAGAGTATCTTTATCTCGTATAGATATTGCAGTTGGTTGGAGATAACTTTGAGCGTAAAATCGCTAGAAAAATGAAGCTGAGTTGGGCAGTATTTGGGAATCTGCGTCATATCTTATCGTCGCTACTACCATAATGCCTAAAGAGCAATCAATGCATCCTGCCCGTCATGACATAGGGGGCCGAGATATGGAACATAACTGTAAGGATGGCTCACCGATTATTACACTCAGCGAGCTACGGAAAAATCTTTGCTAGTTATTTCTTTAAGGGAACGAAAACTTAAAGGACGAAACGAAATCATCCGGCAGAGGACGAAAGTTTTGGATATAATCCAGATGTATAGCAAGCGGAAGAGCTGGCCACAACCGTTGAGCGTTGGAATTGACGGCTTCTCGAATGGAGAGCACGCCTCGGCAAACGTAGTGTGGGACGTCCCACTGCCCGGTGGACCAATGATCTATGAAAGGTCGTTGATAGTGGATAGGCTGATTGAAAAAGAAACTGTATTACCATCTCATCAAAGTAATTGATTAAAAAAAAACTTGTTGCTACGTTATAATTATAAGTTACGGTTTCAAAAGTTTTTTACAGCTTGTAATTTTTTAGATCACAAAAGATTATAATTTTGAGAACAAGACATGTTTGATAACGGGCGCAAACAGCGGGATCGGCTTAGAAGTTACAAAATGTTTAATTGCATGCGGATGCAACGTTTTAATGGCTTGCCGTAATACATATGCTGCGAAACTCGCCGTAAAGGATTCGATATGTGAAAATGATAGCAAAATAAGTGTATACGAAATAAATCTTACTTCATTATCATCCGTTAAAAAGTGTTCCGAAAACGTTTTAAAACAGCACAGGTAAATTTTAAAATTAAATATTTCTATTATCTTTTCTATATTCATAAGTTTGGGTTAAGAGCATGTACACAGGGAGGCTTTTTTAAGTGTATCCATTTTTTTAAATTTAAATTCTAGACATAAATAATGTTATATAAAATGATAAATATTTAACATCACTCACGATCACAGTAAATAATTAAATACATTCATTTGAACTTATCTCAAAAAGTGCTTGATTTATGGGCAACTCTTTGTTTTTTACGCGCGATCATTCATAACTAACACGCATACAAGTTCCTTTCAAAATTATGCGATGCATTTATGAATGACTATCGAATTGTCAACAAGTTGTGTTTTTTAGGGAATGGAAAATTTTTTGAAATAAAAAAGTCTGTTTTTATTTCAATAAACTTTAATACTACCGAGTCTGAACGGCATGTGTGAATTTGGGCACCTTTAGAAAAGCCACCCTGTATAGGACTAATCTCTCGGCTACGGCACTTGGGGTCTTGGATTCGATTCTCACACGTAGCAAGTATTTGTGCAACAGTTGATTGGTCTGGATCTGGGCGCCCAGGTCAGGCAGGGGACCGGCTGTTAAAACATCGAAAAGCACTGACAAATGATTCACATGTAGTGCCGAACCAACCTTGATGGGATAAGCGCAAGAGGATAACGAGGTGTAATAAAAACCTTATAAATTTAGCTATATAGTTGCAAAATGTGTTAGGACTAGACACATCCTAATATTTCTAAAACAATCTTCCAATAATATCTCAATAAAATAAACAGTTTGATTAATGCGGCCCATATCAAGTTTTAAAAATGGCATTGATGACAACTTAATATCCATTGATCGGCATTACTTATTTTTGTGAGAAGGTGGCAAACGAGCTGGCAGTTCACCTGATGTTAAGTGCCAATCGCCGCACATTGACATTTGCCACACCCGTAGGGGTTGCAGATGCGTTGCCACCTTTTAATAATGTGGGCCTCGGCTACCTCACTCACCATTAACGCAAAAGTATAATACTTCCACTTCACGCCTATCTTATGTTAGGTCGTGGTATTTACCGGGACGGACCTGCCCGTTCCTGGAACAGACAAAGCTGTATCACATTTAGGAAATTAATCTGATTTTAATTTTCTAAGCCATTTGAAATCGAATTTATGATAATGATATTTCTTTCAGTAAAATTGATATTGTGATTTTAAATGCCGCTGTATTCGGGTTACCATGGACACTTACAGAAGATGGTTTGGAAACAGCTTTCCAAGTGAATTATCTAAGTCAATACTATCTACTCATGAGAATTGAAAAAATACTGGCCCCGAATGCTAGGGTCGTATTTACTTCTTCAGAATCACACAGGTAATGTTTTTTTAAAAAAGTGTTACGTTATGCTTTAATTTGTATATTGTATTCATTATGGAAAAATCATAAGTTATTTCGCATAAATATACTCGTATTGTGGGAAAAGAAAGTTCACTGCAATTTCTAGTTCTACGGTTTATCGTGCCATTGAAAGTTTTTAATTCAATGTTTTAATTCTTACAAGTAATTTTTCATCAATATGCGCAGTCCCGAGATAAGTCCACTGATGTCCAGTATATAAAATAAAATGTACAATTTTCAAAAACTCTATGGTGTTTGGTTTGAGTTGAATCCACAACCGGATGTGTATACCTATATACCGTTAAATATAAATGGACATGGAAATCATATCTAATCGAGCCTTCATAGCTTAGTGTCCGGGCGCTCCCTTTAATGCAATATACTCGAGCAACTTGAGTCCAAATCCAGCTGGCGGCACCAATTATAATGTTAATACACTTAATTTGTTATAATGACAGACAGACAGTGAAGTCTTAGTAACAGGGTCCCGTTTTACCCTTTGGGTACGGAACACTAAAAACTATTTCGAAGACATGCAAATATGCAGTCGATGACGCGCCTCACCCTTAGGACACACAAAGTACAATGCGTTCAAATAATTCTACACTGCTTAACAATTTCAGAAATATAAATTGGAATATGGACAAAATTTTAGCGCCAACTATAGACCATCTTTCTATTCCAAAAGATGAGTACACGTCAATTAGGGCGTACAATATATCTAAATTATGTGGTATTTTGGCGATGCATTATCTGGGCTATCGTTGGTTAAATTCAAACAAAGCAGTTTTCTGCGCGCATCCCGGGTCTTTTATCAAAACGAGACTGTGTCGAAACTGGTGGGTGTACGAAGCCCTCTACACATCAATGCTGCCATTTTCTAAAACTGTTGTAAGTAAAATATTTTTTATATTGTATGACTTTTTAGTATCCAGTGATTCGATATTACCAGAGGCTTTGCACTCTGCCACTTGCAACTTCCTTGCGGAGCTTGTGACTCAAGTTTCCTTTGTATTTGAGGCATAATGATTGCAATTTCGTTTTATAGACCTTATATTACATTACCTTTACGGATCATATTTATTACATACACTGATGCTTTGAACATCCTATGTAAAGTACAAAAAGCCACGTCAATAATTATTTTTATATGTGTAAAACACTGAAAATGCAGGATAATGGAAACAGACGAATATGTCAATGATGTTGCGTTAATTTTAAATTTGAGCTTCTGTTTATGCTAAACTATTGATAATATATTTATATCTTTGTCATATTTTTTTAATTACTCAGCGGCAAGCAGCCAGCACGGTCATTTATTGCGCTACTTCACCGGATTTGAACGGATTGTCAGCATTGTATTTTAAGGATTGCAAACGTTGCGACGAAAGTGACTTGGCAAAGGATACGCATTTATCATTCAGAGTGAACGATTTGACTCGCGAAATTCTTCGAGAGCGCGTACCAGACTTTAAAGATACTTTTAGAGGTAACGAGTTGCGAAATGTTGGTGAAGAAGTAAAAGAGGCCATTGATCATAATACGCTTGTATCCCATTACTCAAATTAATTACATTTATAAACTTAATGTTATGTAGAAGATTCCTTTATGTTTAATAATATTTTGTAAGCCCGTGTAGGCAATTAAATAAAAACAATTCAATTCATAACATACTTTTATTTCGATTAATAATAACACGATTGTTAAAGGAAAACTTATGATTAAATGATTCCTTACTGTTAATAAACATAACGCGTTGTTTGGTTATACCTGGTGGAAATAAGAAATATCTTTTTTTCGTGTAATTTCATTATCATCATTGACAATCATATTTGCGTTAAGATGTCTAGAATAATTTTTTCTTTGCATCATCGACAAATCAGTTAAAAACCATGCGTAATTATAACAATTAATTATAAATTAATATAGTGAGAAATAAAATAAGTAAAGGTATTTGTGTAATGACTTTGGCATAGAAGTTAAATTTATAATCTCAGTTTGATATTTTGTTATATATTTTACAAAATGAATGATTGTATGTGAACCGCAAGGTGAATAAGTTTTATAATTTTATAATATTAAGAAACTTGAATAAAGAAAGTACTTTAATTGTTATACTGCAGCTGCATCCGATGTTGCGTGGAATTATTTAGCCAGGAAGCCGAATATTTGGAATTTACGTATTAATTTAAAGAACCATCTTAGATTTAAATGGTTATGCTTGATTATCCCCAATATTTCAAATATTTAATTTGATTCGATCTGGTAGTGGCGGTGCGCTACGATTTAATTTTGTAAAAAGTGTTAGCCATCGACTTCGTGTGAATCGATGAAACGGAATTCGCAAAACTGCCATGTCCAAATTTATCGTCGAAGGCTATTTCATACAGTCAATTTTTATATATAAATACGATTAATTTTCGTACAATTTCATCGGAAACTATCCGTTCTTATCGCTATAATCCGTTATCACAACTAATCATTGTGTGTAAAAATGGATACATTTAGAAAAGCCTCGCGGTAGATTTTGTAAAATAATTGTGAGGGTAAAATAAGATTTGCTGCATTTTAAGCAGAAATGCCAAATACATATAAAAAAAAACCTATATGCTATTTTTGTGTTAAATTATAGTCATTAAATGCGCTATTCAATATTTTTTTATTAACTAAATAAAAGATTAGGTGCTTTTTCACTGCTAACCTGCATTTTATGAACCGCTTATTTTGAGGGTATTCTAATTATCAGAATATTTCGTATAAAATTATATTAACAAACATTTACATAATCGCGAAGCGAATAAATTTCATGATTGTCGATTGGGTTCTTAACATTGTGTTAAATTAGTGTAGTGTCAGCTCGTTACTAAAATTAAACGAACGCGAAGTCATCGACACAGTATAGAATATGTACATAAAATCGATATTGAACAATACAACATTAATTTCATGTTTTTAGCACTTCCAAAATATAATTTAACCAACTAAGTAAATTTCGGAACCACGGTGATAGAGCCAGCAGCCTCGGCTGTTGCACGAATGGGCAGGCTCGTCCGGGTAAGTATTACGACCTCACAGAAGACCAGCGTAAAGGGGAAGTATACTCGCGCGTTTCGTCTGGTGAGTGAGGTAGCCGGAGCCCAGTTTCCAAAAGGGTTGTCAACGCATTTGCAAACCCTCTGGTGTAGCAGATGTTCATGGGCGGCGGTATTCACTGAACATCGGGTGATCCGTCAGCTCGTCTGGCAACTTTTCACATAAAAAAAAACAACAATATTCTGCTCAGCTAACTTTAGTTTATGGACTGTATTTTTACTAATATTATAAAGGCGAAAGTTTGTATGTATGGATGGATGTTTGTTACTCTTTCACGCAAATACTACTGAATGAATTTTAATGAAACTACGATAATATAGCTTATACATCAGAATAAGAAGACATAGGCTATAATTTATATACATATTTTAATGTATATCTGTCTTTCTGTCCGAATGTTACGCCTTCAGCCTGTTCTACGCAGACGTAGTCGCGAGCAGGAGCTAGTATTGTATAAAGATATAATCGAAGTAACAGTACTCCGGTGTTACGTATCGTAATAAAGTCGCATAAGCGAACACACAATGTTCGCTTTTGTAATTTATCTAATTTTTTAAATATTTGTGACGGTACAATATATTTGAATTTTTTGTTCTTTGACATATATTCAGCGGATTTTAAATTCTGTAATATTGATATTCATTATCTTCGTACGATTCATTTCTTATCGCTATAGTTTTCGGCTAAAACAATAATTCAAAAACTGGGGTTAACATTTTAGTTTAACGAATTACCAGATCGAATCAAATATTTAATTTGATTATTAATTTAATATTAATTCATCGGACTGACTTGTGCAATTGGGTCCCATAGATAATATCCCGGATATTTCAACATTATATTTATTATACTTTAATTACTACTTATTTAAATATAAATTACTTTTCTGAAAAAAAATTATAAATAAACTTAAACCAATTTCAAAATGAACAAATCAAAATATATTGTATTTACTAAGTATGCATAAGAATTCATAGAAATTTTGTAAATAAATTTACTTATTTAACAGTTAGTAGTAATGTTATTATTTTTCCAGATTCGCTATTAAAATGCTTCTATAATAATATTTTTAAAATGGTGGTGAATAAAAATAACATTTTTCTCATTACTTTTAAATTTATGTCTTCATACAGTGTTATGGAATTTCATTTAGGTACCTATATATTGTTATACATACATATATAATAATCTATAACAGACTAATAACGTAGTCCAAAAGAACAATAAAGATTCTCAATTGAATGTATTTAAAGTTTAAACTACGACGACCCTGGTGGTTTACCACCGTGACACAGATATTAAGTAGCGATGTGGTCATAAGTGTAAAAATCATTAGCATAGTAAACATATATGACATATAACAAATTTATAGTTAATATAATCAAAGGTAGAAAAGTTTTTAGTAACAATTTTGGGTCTCTTAGGTTTAATAAAGCAAGATGCGTTTCTCGACCTGTTTGCGACAGATTGGGCAGACGGTGATTCGGTCGCCGCACATTTGGCACATCCCGTGGCCGCACAGGAAGATCATGTTCTTCAGCCGATCCAAGCAGATCGGGCACATCGTCTGTGGAAGGGAACACAAATAATTAAACACAATTAAACAGCATATTTTATTATTTCTTGCACTTTACTGGTGGCTTCTCGAACTCGAGCGAGCGAGCTGGTATTAATACAGTGAAAGTTGTGTTTGTGAAAAGCAGTCTCGATGAGTGGTGATCTTCACTTCTACAGAGGTTAGATTTTAATGAAGGCGAGGAAAAGGTAATCCACGTTCCGAAGGTCACGTGGAATCTATATTAGCTGTCGTACGTACAATTCAAACAGTACGTTCGAGCCATGAGGCACGTGCCTTTTTTTTCACAAACTAAACAACAGAAAACGTCGCCCTTTAGGATAACATTACCCTGTAATATAAGGAGGTTTCACAAACATAAATTTCACGTTAACAAAAACCCAGGTGCGATAATTTGTGGGTCAAACAAATAGTTATCTCGTGTAGGAATCAAACCCACGACCCCAGGACGCGAAGCCAATACTAGGGCAAATGCGCCACGAAGTCATCAATTCAAAAGTAGACGGAAGAACACGAATGTTTTTACAAAATGGTCGCAGTCACAAAGGCTATGTGAAGCGAGTATTACAGTGCGGGCTTGATGCAAAGTCTCATGGGATCGGGATTAAATTCAACGGTGTGTATTTTGATTTCGATAACAAAAAAGTAAGGACTTGGACGAAAACGGATTACAACGATTCTTATTTATGTCATATTCCCCAAAGCAGAATGGTTGTAGCGGTTTAGATATCGCACGTTTGACATGTATGGCCCTGTCCAACACGGAGGGCCGTGTTAAGCTCGTAGGTTCTGGTGAGCCCACGAGTTCTGCATCCGATAAAAGTTCAGTTAAAGTAAAAGTAGCATTGTAGGGTACGGGCACAGTCGTCGATATGATCAGAGTAACAGCGTTTGTTGTTCAGCGTATGTGGAGAGATTCCTTGAATTTTGTAAGCAGAACAACTCTAGACTGCTATTACATGAAATAGAACATCTGGGGAAAGTACGTTCAAGTTATATAAAAATATGTAAAAGTACCTGCAAGTATGATATAAATATCCTTTACGGGTGTTATTTAAATAGAGCAACATGCAACGTTAGGGTGACCGAAGGTCACGGTATTCATTTCAACATGTTGGTAATATTGTTATTCAGTCAGAGACAGTGGTGTTGTTATTAACATAACCTAAGTTGCTGTAGTCAACAAAATACAACGGTTACACAATACAACGCAAAAGTCCATGATGAGAAAACAGTACGTTAAGCAGAACACTTAAAACGGCTAGCGAATAAGTTACGAATCGAAACGTCATTAGATGAACGACGAATAACTCACGTGGGGAAGTAAAGCAGCTATTTTGCCCCATTGAGTAAGAATCACTATAAGATAGTAGTATTCATTTTATTGCTCTGTTCAATACTTTGTTTCTTCTCCATTGCTACAGCAAACTCTAGTCAAAATGCTTGAGAAGAGTGTTACATACTGCTGGGCTTTGGCCTTGGTTTGTATGTCAGCCTGTAAGCCTTCAATATGAAATATGGATTGAGTACCTGCTCCTTGATGTCCTGCAGCTGCTGTTGCAGTTTCTGGACGTCGGCGGCCGGCGGGGCGGTGGGCGCGGGCGGTGCGGGCGGTGCGGGGGGCGCGGGAGGGGGCGCGGCGGCGGCGGGTGCGGGGGGCGCTGGGGGCGCGGGGGGCGCGGACCGCAGCCCGTTGTTCATGTGGTGGGGCGCGGCCTGCGTGGGCGCCGGCTGCCCCTTGTTCACCTGCACCTGGGCGAGGTTGCTGCCGCCCTCCTTATCGACTGGCGGGAACGGGGAGACGGTCGATTGTAGATTTCGCCGTGGCACGGTCACGCGACAGCTTCTGTTGGGAATCTCGCGAATGGGCAGGCGCGGCCGGGGAAGTGACGCCGCCTCAAAGAAGACAGGCGTGAAGTGGAAGTGTTAAGCTTTCGCGTTTAGTTTGTTACTTAACAGAGGTCGGGCCCCAATTTGTTAAAGGTTCATCAAGGTGACATCGGAAGTAATAGATATCCTTGGGCGGCGGTATTCACTTAAAATTAGGTGAATCACCTGCTTACTTGTCAACTTTTCAAATAAAAAAAAACAATGGCTATTATTTAACACGGCTTGATTGATCGGTGCGCAGTTGGTGAATACAAATAGTATTATTATCTTTAATAATATTTAATTATGAAATAAATCAGACCCACAGAAAAAATAGACAGTTGAATTATTAAATTAGTCAAGTGGGCTTTTGGAAGGGGGGGGGGGGGCGTACGTTAAAAGGGCAGGTGCGTGAACGGCCTCTTGGGGCATGCTCGCCGTACACGTTGGCATTCGGCTGCAGCGGCATGGCTAGGAAAGGGGAGAGGGGAGGCATGTGTTTCAGTGTCCCCTCCGACCGGGTTCCCGTCTTGACGTGGCGGAGGGGCTTAGTAGCCGTGGCTTGGTCACCCACGCCGAAACTAAGAGGAACCCACACTGGGCCGGTCCGTGGTGTAAGGCCGGCCCGAGAGGGCCACTCCGAGTGGGCTCATTGAGCCCACTCTTGATGCGTGCTGGAGGGTGCCGGGGACAGGTCGAGGGTGGTAGAGGTGGAACCACTCTCCCTGTCTTCTGCTATCAAGGAGGAGTCGCGGGTTAAGAGGAGTGTCGGTATTGCGTTGGCCGCACTCGCTATTCTCCGCGACTCGGCGGGGCTGCACCGCTGATGCAGTGGTGGTGGGGCCGCGGGGGGAGAGGAGTGTCGGTATTGCGATGCGCCGTTCTCCCTACCCTCCGCGGCCGAGACGTGGTGAGCGGCGGAGCCACAGACCAGGTCCGCCGCTGGGGGCTGGGAGGCTTGCTACTTATTAGCACTGGCTCTCCCCCGGTCAACGAACTCGGGGGATTTCCTTGGCCTTGCAAATGGGGCCCAGTGGGAAGGCGCGCTGAATGTCCCAGCGCGCCTTACCTGGAGGAGAGGGGAGTTGCTCCCTGAGAGGGGGCTGCTGAGGTGGCCAGCCCGTCAGGGCCGTGGAAGTGTGCGAAAGCGTACCCGTGACCCTGCCGATATGCGCCTAGGTGGAGGAACATCGTGGGGGTTTTAGTCGGTGCAAGTCCGACATAACCCGCTCATGCCTCCGCGAGGGCGGCTATGCGTATGCATTTCCCCCACGTTAACACTACTGCATATAGACTATATATATATACACCATCATATAGCGTGTGCTCGTTAGTAGGGCAGGCGATTGAACGGCGCCTTGGGGCATGCTCACCGTGCACGTTGGCGTTCGGCTGCAGCGGCGTCCGGCACTCGACGCACTTGCGCATGAGGGGCGCGCAGGCGGCGCACGCGCACACGTCCCCGCACGGCCGGAACACCACGGTGGCCGGCGCCTCCGAGCACACCACGCACTCGCCCACGCGCCGACGCGCGCACACGCCCGCGCGGCATACGAGGCACTTCTTCACCTGGGCAACGATGGCACTTGCATTGCATTTTATATATTTCATATTGTTTTTTTTATATTAATTACAAGAAGAGTTTTTTGTTTTTTTTTCTACACAGGCACGAGGGCCTGTATTCGACGTGGAAGGGATTGGGTATTGATTCCCGACGAACACTGCGACCTACAAAGATCTATTGTAGTCCCACATTATTATCACAACTTTCACTTTGTTTTTGGTTATGTTTACATTTATTTTAATTCGTGAAATATAATTTTATATTCTGTGCCAATTCCATTATCATTCAAGTACGTTATGTATCTATAGTATCAATTCGATAATTCCATTATCATTCAAGTTCGTTATGTATCTATAGTAGACCGTGAGTGGTCATAATTCTTTCGTTCTCCCCTCTTTCTTACTTAAAGTGCCAGCTCACCCTAGCGGCGCAGACGTTGCAACAGCATATGTGGCCGCAGGGGCGGAACATCGTGTCCCGTTTGGCGTCGGAGCAGACGAGGCACTCGTCCGCCGTGGGATCCGACGACGGCGGTGGCTCGCTGCTGGCCGTGTCCGGCGCTGCGGCGCTGGTGGAGGCGGATGCACCGCTGCCCGACGCGCCCAGCGAGCTGCCCTCGCCGTCAGGCGTACCGTCGCTCGCCATTCCAGAGCCCTCTTTGCGGCAGGTCGTCAGTGTTTTACGCAGATTCGGATCGGGGCACAAGTCGAGCGGGGTCTGCCCTGCAAACGAAACGGTGATCGTTCAGTTTATTTTCTCGTCATGCCATTGTGAATTTTACAGTTGAGATGAATAATGTGAAGAAAATTGAATATGGGATTATTACAATTGTACTGAGCTGCTAGTACAGATTTTTGATTTTCATCGTAAAAGAAAGTTCGGCTTCCGTACCCAAAGTGTAAAACGGGACTCTATTCTAAGATCGATTCCGCTATCTGTCTTTTTGTCTATCACCAGGCTGTATTTCATGAACCGTGATAGTTAGACAGTTAAAATTTTCACGGACGATCAATTTCTGTTGCCTATACAACAGACATGATTTTTTTGGCCGTTTTTATAGATCGCACTTGGTCGGCTATTTTATGTTTCTTACCTCAGAACTCCGTTATTTATGAACTCCTCAGAACTGATTTTTAAAATAATTTTTGGATTGAGTTTGGCTTAGTTCCCATGCGGTCTCATATTAATTTCATTGATATTGGACCTTAGACTCTGGAGATACATTAGGGAGATATCCAAAATCAATTAGAAAATGAATACTGAAATCGGTTTTGATTTTTCGTTTTTCTTGGAGCATTTTATCGACTAATTACTCTATTATATTGTACTTAAGTTACTACTATTAAAGTAACTGATATATATTTTCACGAACTCGATATAATGCCGATTTCGTCGGACTTTTCTACCTTATATATAAAAAGGAAAGGTTAAAATGTTAAAGTTGTTATTCGTTGACAGCTCTATTGTTTTGCGCTTGTATAAAACTGGATTTACTGTTCCTGAACAAGTGCTACATACAAAGGTGCGCTAACCACAGCCACGTAGACTTAGCGTAAATAGCAAAACGAACGCCGGTCATTTATAAAAATAAAACCTACGTCCAACTCTTAGCAGTACAATTATTTTTTCTCCTTACCGGGAATGAGAACGTAATAAATTTTCTTTTCAAATACCCGTATAAAGCGAGCAGCCGTAAAGTTTTTGCGCTTGTCGAAAAAGTTTTATTAGCAATTACTGAGAACCAGTTGAAGATCTGAAGATGTATCATTTTCCTTTTACGGGCTGTTATCCTCGGTTATGAATTTGTTTTCTAAAATAACTGGAAAGGTTATTTGTTTACGCAGCATATAAAATTGAAATTTCCTCACAAAGTAATTTGTTGTGATAGATCGAGATTTCCAGACGTGACTTTTTATGAGTCGATAGAATGCAGAAGCTTCTTTAACAACCTATTGTACAACGACAATTATCACCAATTTGAATTTCCATAATATAGAAGTATACTTATAATAATAATTATACATATAATATAATTATAATTGTTAAAAAGTTAAAAACATCCCATTAAATTGTTTAAAAGTCGATTATCATCACGCACACAAAGTAATAGACAAACAGGCCCATCACATAAGGGGAAGACAGATATTGCGGGTTTTCCCAGATTACCCGATGCCCGTAACTGCACGAATGGCAAAAGCCGAAGCAAGTCCGAAGGAGACGACCGTCCGGGTACGTACCACGAACTCACAGACGACCGGCGGGAAGCGGAAGTGTCATACTTCTGCGTTTAGTCTGCTGAGTGAGTAGCCGGGGCCAACTTAATTAAAATATCGCAACGCGTCTGCAACCCTACGGGTGCTGCAGATGTCCATTGGCGGCGGTTATCACTCAACATCAGGTGAACCGCCACCTTCGCTCCTCAGCTCGCTAGCCACCTTATCGCACAAAAACAAAATACGCACCCTTTTTATTTTTGAGCGTGAGGTCGGCGCCGTGCGCGGCCAGGAAGCAGGCGATGGACGCCGATGACTTCTTGTCGTTGGCGTGCGAGAGAGCGCCCAGCGCGGCGGCGTCGCGGGCGTCCTGCAGCCGGCGCAGCTGCTGCAGCGTGTGGTGGCGGAGCGCCTCGTGCAGCGCCGTGTCGCCGTCCTGATGCGTTCGGGTGGCACCGTGAATGTTTGGACGCTCATAGACTTTCCAAAGATGGGTTATGAATATTAAAAAAGGAAATAGCAAAAAAAAAAAACCTACGAAAACATCCAATTCTTTAATGGTAAAATAATTTAAGAATTGAATCACTTTATGAATAATTTAAAGTACTTACTCATATAAAAAAATAACAGCATTTAGCAGTTTTAAGTCTCGAGTATCTCAATACATAATTGATAACATATCGCCTTCGTTATGAGACATAGAGCTTTTAACTGTTTAGCGACCATTGCTTTATTTTTACAATTGTGTAATATTCTCACGTAAGTGGCATTGTATTGTCTTTTTGGGAGTAAATTTCTTTAACCTCAAGAATTGTTTGTAACGAGAAGTTGTTACAAGGCACTCTTGAATTATCAAGAAGTTATTTTAAGTTTTATCAAAAGAAGAGAATTGTTCTCTTGTTTTGATCTCGCAAAAGATTTGCGGTCGCGGCTTGAAAACTCTGATTAGGGATCAGAGGGATTCGTAACGAGCTATAGTTTTTTTTGTTTTGAAATTCTGGCGAAGTTATATTCGTAAGTAAGGAAGTGTCTTTCGTCGTATTTCTTGATTTAGGTACAATGCTAATCTCGGTCAAAATCAGACAATGTACATGCAAATTCGAGAACATGATTTTGTAACGATACATTCAGCTTGCATGCAGATGGTTACATAGGAATGACGTGTCGCACAACAATATATTGCATAAGTAAAAAGATGCATAACAAACTAAATAGTTGGTTTATTTAATGTCCGTTGTATGAAAGAAAAACTTAAACAACTATCTGTGGGTCGCACAAACAGTTGTTCCGTGTGGGAATCGAACCCACGACCCACGCAACTGCGCCACGGAGTCATCAGTGTCGTATACCTTGTCGCAGATGTTCAAATCCGCGCCGTGTGCGATGAGCAGCCGGACGATCTGCGTGTGCTGACGCTCGACGGCGAGGTGCAGGGCGGTCTGCAGGTTGGCGTTCTGCAGGTCGGGCCGGGCGCCGCCGCGCACCAGCAGCTCGGCGACCTCCGCGTGATTGTTCAGGGCGGCGAGGTGCAGCGCCGTGTAGCCGTCGTCCTTCGCGTCGTCTACTATCCACGGCCTCGGCAGCTTGCCCAGCATTATCTTCATCGCGCTGGAGACACAAAATCCAAATAATTTTGGTATTCATCGACATGAGAAGCGGACATTTCATCTATCGATAGTGTCTGCGCTACAGACAAGTTAAAATTATAAATAAATTTAATATTATTAATATGTATAAATTAACGTGTAAACCATAGACTGTCTTTATACTTGTAACACTCGCGTTGGAAGTCGACCGTTATATTTTAAATATATTGGCTCAGGATGGTTAACGACACACATTCAATACATTCGCACTGACCTTCCAACAGTAACGGACTCACATTCGAATCCAAACTTAATTGTTTTAGTTGAAATTATATTAATATAACGCGTTCAGAAGCATTATTTCTTCATTCTTGTTCTATCCTGAACAATAGTCATTTGTTTTTTTTTTTAAACTCTACCAACGTTTCGTGATCAGTTTTCACTGACGGAGAAGAAACGGGCGATAGAAACTCCGTAGTTATCCCCTTTTTTGCCTTTTTTACCTTTACAGTCGGGCTACGAACTAACGAATGAGGTCAAGACAGTATTGAAAGCTCACTCGGAATCATATATATATATATATATATATATAAACGTTGGTAGAGTTTTAAAAAAAACATTATATATATATATATATATATATATATATATATATATATATATATATATAATCATGATTCCGAATGAGCTTTCATCATTTCATTATATCATATATATATATATATATATATATATATATATTATATATATACAATCGGAATCTCGGAATTTTCCTTTCCTTTTTAATTAGTATGTGCGTAGATTCGGGGGCGAAAAATCGATCTTGCTAGGTTTCATTTTTAGAAAATGTCGTTTTATCAAATATCACTCGAATTCGTGGTTCGTGTCGGTGTCACGATCATTTACACACACATATTTTTTACTTTTTTTCCGATTTCAGATCATTGCTTTCTTCATTTTTTTTGTCGATTTGTTGTTTTGTTATTTTTTTTTCTCTTTTTAAAGTTCTTTCTTTTGTGAAAAACATTATTACGTCGGTAAGATCTAAAAATATTATGCATATTTCATTACTCGGTAATTTGTATCTAAATTTAATTTCCAAAATACACGATTTACCAAAAAAAAATCTAACCTCCAGGTACTTTTAATTCATCAGTTAAAAGTAACGACAAAATTTGATTCGATTAGGATATTGGGAGTGTTGAAATTAATTTCATAAATATTGTAATTGTTTTTAAATTTAAATTGTTAAAATCATAGATACTAAGTCGCATGCATGGACCTAATTAATGGACGCAATTAACACAAATCTTAAAACTTTTTACCAAATTAATTTGTAATGTCAATGTTGGTTGCATTGAAATAAAGTATTAAAACACTTGATTGAGAAAAGTTGGAGCGTTGTCGATTTCATCAAGCAATCGAACTTTTTCCCGGCCACATGTGCAGTTTAAATCACAAAACCCCCTGCTGAGACTTATTATTAACTTCTTCTACCGAATTTTTGCCTGCACCTAAATATAAGTAATTGGTTCATTTTTATAGATCTGGAATTCGGCAAAAACGCGTTAAAAATCACTAAAAATATGCTTGCTTAGTATAAAAAAAGAGATAATTCTTTTTTGGAACTAAAAAAAGTCAGGGTTTCTCAAGAAAACTTTGCATTTTATAAAATGATTAGGTACCATTATCGATTGGTTTCTATAATGGTTCCCATCGTTGGTCGAAAAAAGTATAATGATGGTTGGCAATAAATCTGGAACCCCAACGGGTGCTGTAGTCGATGAACTTTGTTAGACCTTTCGGGTGCACCACTTAATCGTTTGCCACCTTCTTAATAAAAGTCTTTATTTACGAATAAATTCCTTCGATGATTTGGGCAGTAAGGCTAGGCTAGCTTAAACAATCTATGTATAGTTTTACATTTCAAATGTTTAAATAAACACAATTTTAAGGTTAATATTTAATACACAAAACAAACGAGCTATTCAATTTGCTATCTGAAATAGTCTGAGCAAAGGATAATTATATTTGCACATACGTAACAGAGAATGATGTAACTACATACATATATAAGTTAAAGAGCATATTTTGATATCTATACTGTACATATTTTATTGTAGCTATGAATAGATCTCCCATTTTATAGATTTGCATATTGACAGTAACTGTATCAGACTATGCTTGTAAAGTTGTTCTCCTAATCATTACGTATTGAACACTTGTAGCAGAAACGCAAGGATTTTTTTATTAATGCCAAACGTGATTTGTTTATTCAGTCCCTTAGGCATTCGGGTAAGCCTGCTACGGCCAAACCGGAACGAAAAAAACTGTGTCATTGTTATGTCGGTCAATTACCGAGTTCAGGAACGTCAAAACTAATTGAAAGTTGGCACAAATTAAAAATTCAAATTGTTTCGGTCCAACATTTACAGTTGGTTGTCGTGTTGTTGGCCTAAGAATTAATCAATGAATTAATTGACTTTAGGTGTTTGTTGAATAAAACCAAAAAGGAAATAATAAAAATGAAAAGGTCACAGCTCTTGAAAGTATTGATGAGAATATACAGCATGGTGTTACAACTGCGACCTTAAATGAAAACACTTTTAACGCTACTTGCTAATAATTATAAAAAATATAAACGTTAAAATAAAATACATTATTTTAAAGAAATAATTTTCAAACAAACTTATTAAATAAAAAAGAAACAACATTTGTAACATCCTATATAACTACAACTGACTAAGTCATACATTCAGAGACTTTTTCATTCGTTGCCAAAAAGTCGCAATACAAGTCTCTCTCTCCTTCTAACAGTAAGTTTTATCTCTTTTAAGTTCATTCAACCAACTCATATGCTTTGTGACCTTTACAAATGAACTTTACGTTACAGTTTTATACGTAAGGATGTTCTAAAATTATATGTTTTGGAAAATTTAATTGGAACATTCGCAGACTTTTAATCCCATACAAATTTTGTTACTACTGAAAAATATGTTATGAATCCTCGTCATATCTTACGAATATGTTAATTAAACGGAATGAGCTTAACGAGGGAGATGTAGTGATAGAAAATATTAACAGGCAAGATACATATTATGTACTGTTTCCTTTGAAGAAATTCCTTGTTTAGTTCAAAGTTATTACAGATTATACACGAAACCATAATTTTTAGTTAGGAATAAAAAGTGTTTTTAATGCCTATTACTAAAATTTCTGATATTGTCCCCCATGGTTGATTGTTTTTGTTTTTTTTCTAATTTATCATTTTCAATGATCTTTTTATGGTGGCCAAGATATTAGAAAAACATTAATTAAAAAAGGCATGACTCCCAAATAAAATTCCTAACAACACGACCGCGACATAGTGTCGGTGTCCCACTTCGATTCAACTAGTAGGCTTCCATGGAAAAACATTTATCACAAAAAACAGTCAACGTACATATGTATAGAAACGGTGCGTAAGTTGTGGAAAAGCTAACGTGCGAACGCCTAGAGGAGATTACAAAGTACAACGGTAAATTTATGTAAAATGTACATACGTTGCAGAACTCGACACCGGTAAAGTGTGAACGAACCCGGATCAAAAATAGATCAAGACTTTGAATTTGTTGTTGACTGAATTTAAATGCAGCGGCCAAAATGATCTTTAGTCTCGGCTTCGCTACAAAGTAAGATTTAGTCCGGTCGATGTGGACGTATGAATCGAACGGTCCCTGACGAAATGCGCGTTTAATTTCAAACTAATCGGCGCATCAGCTCTCCGGCATGGTCGAGATGAATAAGTGCTTTGCCACGTAAGTAATAATTGTGTGAACGGTAACAATAAATTAGGCGGTCCGCGTTCCAATACGCTCAGTTACGTTCGAGGAGTAAAAGCGAACAACTAATTAAATAAGGTCAAACGTCGTCGGGTGGCGGCGGCGCACGCTCATGTAGTCAGAGTCCGCGCGCCGCTACGTCGCCAGCGCGTGTCGCGCCCTCGTGTGATTGCCATCACTTCTGTGGAAACGCAACACCGTCGTTGAAAATTGTGGCCGAATCGGAATTGATACGTGATCGATCGCCCGAATCCGATCGATGCGATTAAGCGGTAAGTACGTACGTGCGGCGCGGACCATTTTATCCCCCGAACATTAATTACCAATAGTTTACTCTGTAAATTTACATTGTAGTTATACCTAAGTGTGAGAGCGGTGAACGTTTATGTTCTGTTGGTTGTTGATTTTTTTTTTATTTAAATTTTTCCGAATAACACGACGCATTGAATAATTAATATAAAGTACGGCGACCATGTTTGTGTTTTAATAACGCAGCTGTGAAATATCGAATGGCGTGCACCGCAACGATCCTGCGCCTCGCTCGACGCTCCTATGACGCCATTGGATTGAGTTTTTTTAATTATGCTGTCATCCAATGCTAAATTTGCTGGGGGATCTGACTGATTGTCGTAATTAAAATAAACTGCTCTACAATGGCTTCCGAAATATTATCAGAACGGATTAGTTATTTCTTAATCAAAGATCTGAAACAATATAATTTGCAATCGGATTTTGCCATAATTGTCTTTAAGGAATGAGCAATGAACAATGAATGAACAATTTTAAAAGTGGTTCGCATTTCCGAATAGGATTTCAAAGTATTAATTCCGTATGGAGTTAAAATGGAAATTTTCGATTTGTTAAATAAAGTAATTACAATGGAGGAAGTGGAAACAAAGTCAATTCAGTCGTCGGCGCTTTACAAAAACGCTTACGTCCGCAGTAGCGAAACTTTCTCTTATATATCACCCCGAAAGCTTTTTTTTATGTAATAGCTAGGCAACGGTTTGCAGATATTCCGTAAGTTGGAGAAATTTACGAGCGACCTGAATCCCGGTGCCGGATTGTCGATATTGTCCTTAGGGTGGAAATGCAATGTAGTTACTAAAATTACGGAAACTTTTCCCTTTTTTTAGATTCCGTCTTCGATGCTAATAAAACTTAGTGTGCAGGTTTTTATTAGGCAGTAGGTTTATATTTTTGGTCAAATGTAATGTATTGTAAGTAAATGATAACGGAAAAATTCCATTGGAATGTAAGTAGAGCAAATTTAAATGATTACTTGATGTAGGCTATATGATTTAAAGAAATTATAATCCCGGCTAATTTATGAAATATAACCTAAACTGTTGTAGAAAAAATTGTAAATTCAAACATTATTTGAATTGTCCTCAAGTACAAATACACCTACTTGATAGTCCTGTACGTAAATGTATGGCAAATTGTGTAATCTCTAACATATAATTTTTTTCATTACATTTTTAAAATATTTTAAGTTTGCCCCAATATGATCTTATACAAATTTAAGTATCTGCCTATATTATTATATTTGTTTCATTGGTGGCTAAAGATGATACCTTTAAAGGTAATACCACCTCTGTACAAGTGATATTAGGGCATAGCCCACCTCGCGAAAACACCGTGGATTGGCGGACTACACATATCTTCGAAACATTTTTTAATCATTTCTCCATGATGTTTTTCTTCACCATTGAGCACGTAGAATGTCAGCATTCCAAATTGCAATTAACAATTTCATTGGTTGTCACATTTTTTGACGCTACCGTCTACTACTACTATTTACATTAAATAATGTTTATTTGCGTACAGATATCATGATTAGATTTAAAATCATTACGGGTTCATTAAAATTCATTTATGTATGGTTGAGTGAACAACATACTGTACATGTTTATAGAATTTTGTTGGGCACTTGACTTGCTATCAGTGAATGATTCAGGGGGAACACCACACGATTCGCGTTTTGAAGATTTTAAAATTAAACCATTCATTTTTAAAAGTATGTATGTCGACAAACCTACTAGAAAGTTATGATGGACATGGCAGAACCCGAGAAAAAGTTAGACACTGATTATTTGAAATGAAATGAATGACGTTTCATAGTTGTATAAATTGATAGGTTTTTTCTACGTTTAGAAAAATTTGTAATGCTCTTTGTAGCACTGGACTAATTAAGAGGCCGTCCTATGTCAAATTTAATTCATAGTATGTCGAATGTTAATCTTTTTTACTTTACACTTATTAAACCAATATTGAATCTGCTTTCAAGTAGCGGTTGTTAGAACAAGAACAGTTGTACAAAGTGGTATTGTTAAATCTAATTTCAATTACTTGACTCTGAAAGTTAATTTCTTATCGAGCTGTCTTTTCGGCGTCCGAAGAGAGAAATCGCATTTGGCGCAAAGAGCTCCCTCAGTTTCGCGTGAAATGTGCACACAGTGGTTATAAATCAAAGACAGTACGTGGGCGTTTGGCGTGCACGGCCGACGCCGCATTAAGCGCTGTCTCTGAGTGCGCTGCGAAACAATCGAGCTATGAATCACCGCACCCCGGGCCGATGCAGCGTGCTCCCGACGAGATCCTTCGACGCTTGCTTCGGCGTTTCGTTTAATGAATAATTTAAGCGCCGCCGGGGCGTTACACAATCCACGCGGTCAACGCGAGCGGGCAACACGAGTGATCGTATTCCAGCGACGGCGGGCTGATTCCCCGCGGATCCGGAATAGTAAGTTATGGAAATGTGCGATTGGGGCAGCGCGGACAACTGTGGCCAATAACAATGTCACATTAATATTCAACGGGTGATGTTTGACGTTTTTACATCGCGGACAGCCTCGCGACTCTTTGCCCGCGAGGACAATTTGTATTTTCTTATGGTATTGCAATGATTATGTAGGTCGGTAAACAATATCTAATATTATATTTCAATAAATCATTGTTAGTATAGATGTGACCGTCCACTGTCCGGGCGCTCGCCTTTAATTGAATATACTTGAGCAACCTGAGTTCGACCCTCGCGGTACCGGCACCGATGCTGACCTATTACGTGCTCAGCGGTAAAGGAAAAATCATTGTGAGAAAAACCATATTTTCGAAACAATAAAAATATTTCGAACATATGTGAAGTCCGCCAATCCACAGTGGGGTCACGTAATGGACTATGCCATTATATCCTCTGTATAGATTAGGCCTTTGCCCAATAGTGAGACATAAATAAGCTGTTACTTTACTTTTTTACTTTTATTGTTAGAATGTTGTTCCTGCTTGGCAAAAAAGAATACATTAGCACGTGTACAAAGTTATTACATAATGTCGTTTCGTACAAAATTGTGTAAATTTAATTTTTCGCCTGGTATATAACACTATGATAATGTTATGGTAATTTGAAGTAAAGTACTGTTAATGCTATACACATTTGTGGAAGTAAAAAAAAATCGTTTACGAGCGTAAAGATTTTCGGTATCGAAATGCTAACAAAACTACGTTCCTATCCGCAGACAAAGGATGAGTTGGCCACCGTCCCACTTGTTTGTCTACGAAAGTTTGCCAAAATTCTTTTATTGACTGAGCGGGCGTAGCGGAGAGCTGTGCGGCCGGCGGCGGAAATTCTCTGCTACAATACGTTGCCACTAGTTCGACAGTTCAACCCTCGTTCTTATCATATACGAAATCTAAGCCACTGTGTTTGTACATTCGTACATTCCTGAAACTTATTTATTTCGTATGGATTTTGATTTTCTAATGTGCACGATTTGCACTTCCACTGTATGTTTTGGGTGCAAATTGCATTAAGCTTTGGCTTCGAATGACCGTTCGCGCTTTGAATGTTTCAGGGGTCAGTGAACGCGATGGATCGCCAGAAGCCACGATCGGAACTATGTATAGCCCGACTACCCCGCGGGAGGTGACAGTGGTGGATGGTGCGCAACTAATAATAGCCCCCCCACCAGCGATGATCCGATCGCTGACGGGAGCGCGCACATGTGGCGCCCGGCGGCGGCTCCGCTCTGCGGGCGCGTTTATTTTCGACGCGGTCGTCACGCGGCGCGGTGTACGGCGCGCCTTACGTAAGAGCCTCCGCCGAGGGCCGGCGCGGCCCCGCCGTGCAGCGAGCCGGCCGCAGCCTGCACGCCAGTGCACGACGAGTTCGAGTAACCGATCCGCCGGACGCGCGTCGCCCGCTCTATTTCGGGAGAATACAAATTTGGAATGGATGGTACTGGCGGCCCGAGAGCGAACTCTGCCGCCCGAGTCCATTTTTAGAGCTGGTCTGCGCGTGCGCGGCGAGCGCGCCGTCAGTGCTCCGCCGGCTGCCACCAGGCCGTGTCGTTCGCCACCACCGCCGCGGTGCGCCCCGCCTAAGGGCTGCCGTGGACCGCCCGCTATACGCCTCGCTCCGGATACGTCATCGAACCAAAGCAGCACCGACCATCGGCGCCAACCAAAAGGGGAAGAATGGTCTGGCCGCGGACGCTGTCGTGCCGCGAAGACAGAAGACAGAGCCTTGCGCTAGTTCCGTGCTTCCTTACTTCCCATAGTGCTTAAATTCGTATGGAATGTAAAGAAGTATGGAGCTGCGCGGGCGGGTCCACGAGTCCGGATATTACATCGATGTTCCTTATGTGTCATTAGCGTTGGAGTTTACTGTGATCATGTTTTAAGTGTACCCTCAGGCAGTTACTTAACTTGTAGCAGATATGCAGTTGCGGAATTATTAGAAAATAATATTATCTAATTAACCATACGGAACGGTCCTATAATCGGGTAACAGTCTGTACATGTAGCGCAGTAAACAATGCGTTTTAATAATTAAAATTTTGTTAGCTTTAAAGTTACAGACTGCGGTTACAAAACGTCTAAAGTTGAAGCAAAAGCGGGAATTGTTTGTTAGCTGGCGAGTTGTCGTAAAATAACATCTGGCGCAGAGTAGGTAACAGTTCTGACTAAGGAAATATAAATAAACGTGAGGCTGACGCCGACCGGAGTTCGAAACTTCTCCGGAGAACGAATTATATTTAGCTTTGGGGAAAGAGTGCGCGGGCGGTGATGTGCGGAAAATGAAAGTTGAATTTACAAAGGATACAATAAAATCGAGCCTTTGGTATATTCATAGTCGAGTTCAATTATAACGGAACATGTTTCAGAGTTCGAGTCATTCATTACAAAACTATCCGCTGAAAAGTACTGAGGTCCCATGTTTGAGCGCAACAGCATGTACACACATTTGGGCGAGCTCAATAGGATATCTTGGAAGTTGGTCCGTGGCAAAAAACGCGGGAGGCAACAAAAAGCGCGTTGGGAGCGCCTGCGTCGCATCTGGAGGCGCGCTGCATCCAATATCAATTGTGCGTCGCCGTCGCGGCCGGTTGCGCTCGTGCCTTGCGATTTCGGGAAGGGCCCGGCTCTGGGTGCCGTCGCTTTGTTCTAACAAGCCATTGTCTCAATATTGACTTAGCGCTAAGACGTTTCAGACGTTTGCCATTCGGAACTTATTATGCGTTGGGCGGGTACCTATCTACTGTTTGTTTAAAACTTCACTGTCCCCTGAGGCCTTGTTACCGATCACAACGGATATCGAGCCGGCCTTGACTTTGTGTTCGTCGGAAATTATATATTAGTACTAACATCCTTAAGTCGTTTTCGTCGATCTTAATCCTTTTTTCTATTCACTGGTACAATAATGTAGGTTTTTTCACATTTAAAGACTGCATGTCGACTGCATTGAAAATTTTTAAGTTTTAAGCTTATTAAAATATGTTGTTAAGTGTTCATTTGTGAATTAAAGTAAAAAGTAAGGTCCGGCTACCTACGATAAGTCATTGTCGCATTATTGTAATCTTTCCATGATAAATACGAATCGGTTTCACAATCACATAAGGCATATTAATGATAATTGAACGGTGATTGCTGCAGATCTGGCGGGGAGCTTTTGTTATTTCACGCTAGACGAATCGCTTAGAGAGATTCCCGGGGTGAATTAACGGTCGCGGAGCAATTTAGAAGCGTGCGCATAACTTTGCGTTTATTGTTTCACTAGGCGGCCGCGGCGGCGAACGAGATTGGGCCAATGACAGCGCGCACGCATTACAATGAGCGGCGCACATGAGAGGGAGGCGCCGACCGATGAATCCCGAGTCTCGCCGCCAACGGCTGCATTCAACAGCGCACGTCGCGTTCCACGCTATAAACCCCGGGCCCCGATCCCGCGCCCTTTAATAGCGCACGCATTTAACCGTAGCACAAAGGAGTGCTCTATGAGAAAGGGATCTTGACCTACCAGTTCCAACAGAACGTTCGACTTATAAATATCGCTTTGAAATACAATTTATTCATGCATCTCTGCAACGACTGCTCCCAACAAAGGAATGTAAAACTAGACAGGGGGATAATGAAAGCTAGTCAAAGCCATTTTAATAGAGTTACGTGCAGTTCGGTTATGAATTATTTTTTTATAGTGCTGAACAAGTTATGACGGTAAAAGATAAAGCTTTATAAGTTGTACGGGTTAACGGTCGAATTATTAATTTAGATTATTGTCTGTTATAGATATTGTTCGCATTTAGAATGTGTATTGAACATGCGGGTGTCTAGTGTGAAACTGATGATAGGGTAATTTCACAGTATGATTTCTTGCGAAGGTATCAACGAGCTTGCGGTTCACCTGATGTTAAGTGATAACCGCCGCCAATGGATATTTGCAACACCCGTAGGGTTGCTGATAAGTTGCCACCTTTTAATAAAGTAGGCCCCGGCTTCCTCACACACCAGACGGACCTGCCCACTCGTGCAACAGTCGAGCCTGATGCGTGGCCCTACGTGATTAAATAGTGTGATTTTGTCTTTGAATGAAGACATGACTCGTTAGGTATGGGTACGGTAAGCGGTAGTGTCATGCCATTCGGATGGGCGGTGTTAAAATAACCAGCGCATGAATTTTTGGCACGACTCCAGAGGCCATCGAGTATCTCCTGACGCGCCTCGCCCATCTCAACGTCTCAATCCACGTGCATTTTAAAATTAATATCCATCCGTATAAGATTTCATATCGTAGAAATGTTTCGTTTGTATTGAACTTTTTTTAGTTTTGCAGTTATGAGTAGATGATTCTAGGCTGTGCATTTCTAGCAAAAGAGAAAAAAAATATAAAAGTTCAAAATGGCAGCTCCATTTAAAATTGCTTTGGAAAAAATAGCCATGCAGTATTCTCATTTAAGTTTTCGAGTTAATTAATTTTTGTCAGTCACATTTAAAAAATATACTCGCTCTACGAAAAACTTAAACGGACTTGATTTATATCTCTGTTATTTATGACTTTCGGTGTGAATAAGGAATACACTATTTAATAATACGATTTTTGTATCTTTCTGATAACAGTTACGATATTACGTGTGCAAATATGTGTATAATTATAATTGTTTCTATGTTAATAAAAGAAAAGGTTTTAATTCTGTGTTATTCTAATTTATGATAATAGTAGTAAGCTATATTGTTAAGGCTTGTAAGAATTAAAAGCTAATGACACAAACATTCACTTTATTTTCGATCAAATAACGTGTATAAATAGGAATCTATGGTTTTACACGTCTTTAGTAATATTAATATATTTTCAAGTGTTTAGTCTATAGTCGGCATAATAATAATAGAAACTATACTATATATATAGGTATCAAAAAATGGTAAAAACATTTTCATTTCATTATATAAATCTTTAATGTTGTGTAAAATTACATTCCGTAAAAATTTTAAGACTGTTACATTATGTATATTAAGGGGTATAATACTGTTACTTTAGATACTGTTTAAATTTAATATTAAATACTATATTCATATATTCATTAATTGTAAGGAATTAATGTAATTTATGTAATAAAGTGAAGCTTTTATTGGCAATGCATTAATAAAAAAAATTGTTAGTATTTAAAACGCATTATATTTTGTAAATCGAAATAAACGTGTGATTTAAATATGTCATGTTGTTTAAGCATAAAACTACGTTAAAATGTGTATTACCTTGCGTGTTAAACTTTTTTTCATTTAAAATTTCACTATAACCATGCAAAACTAACTTAATACCCTTTCTAACTCCATAAATATAAAAATATAAAGAATGATGTTTATGATGCAATAGATATTCTTTGGTTAAATTATAATATTGTTTATTTGTTTTTAAATCCATAGAAGTTTTAGTTTAGTAAGCTAATAAAACAAATTTTTTAAATGCTTAAGATGAAGTATTTTGTAATTCGATCGATTATAATGTATTATAGATCTAAAGCTGCGACATCTATCGTAAAAATTAAGACTTCAATAGAATGCAAAGGGCAACACTACATATTTTCCTAAGCAACCGATAGATGGCACGAGGAAGACGATATTAAAAAAAAATTAATACATTATTGAAACATTGAGTTTTATATTACAGAGCTACATCGCAGTATACGATTAGACTGTTATATTTTTGTAAAGAAACTTCTGAAAATAATTATTTGTGGCGAGGGATTAATGTATGAAAATAAAAATAAATATTGTATTTCATTGAGCAAAAATTTTATAATGTTTAGTTCAATAACGCAAAACGAGGATCTAATCATTGTACAATTAGTGGCGAATTTACAAACGTGCCACTAATTTACCTTATTTCGCAGTAATATTAATTACATTTCTTCTCTCAATAAAATTGCAACTTTAAGATTAGTTCTCTATCGTCTTCATTAAATCGGTATTTTCTCGTTATTTTATGATAGAAATATTAAAATATACATATTAAATATTGCAAGACGCAACTGTCCGAGGTAATTTTTCATTTGTTTTTATTTTATGTGAAAAGTTGTCAAGGGAGCAGGCGGTTCACCTAATGTTACGCGAATACCGCCTATGGACATATACAACACCCGATGGCTTGCAGATGCGTTGACAATCTTTGATTAAGTGGGCCCCGGTTACCTCACCTACCAGACGAAACGCGTAAGCTTAATAATTCCACTTCACGCCGGTCTTCTGTGAGGCCATGGTAATTTCCCGGACGCGCCTGCCCATTCGTCCAACAGCAGAAGCTGTGGCGTGGTACTACCACGGTAAGTTTTTTAAGTAAATACGGTAAGGGGCTTCATCGCTTCTATCGCCGCTCTATATCGATCTCTCTTGCTCTCAAAATCAATCCCTCCACTAAGCATTATGACACACTCCCGCGGCAAACCCGATCGCGCCACGCTTGTGCTGTCAATTTGTCCAGATAATCTAAGCGAACGGTCATATCATTTATTCCCGCACCGCAATCCAAAAAAGACGACACAAATATGTCGTACAAAAAATATATTTAAGTATTGGACCATATTACAATTTTATTATGCGTTTGGATCCAGTGACGTTTAGGTACATAGAAAAAATACAGTAATGATTAATAAAGAAATTAAAAGTTTATGATCACAAAAATATGTTTTACTAAGCGTTTAGTAATATGTAATTCATATACAGCGTGGCGAAAATATATGAACACACGTCTAACGCTAAATAATCATAAAAAAAATTAACGTAAAAAAAATACATAATTAAGAAAAAATATTTTTCAAACAAACTAATTAAGTAAAAGAGAAACTCAATTTAGTAACATCCTATACAACTACAACTGACTGATTCATACATAAAGAGACTTTTTCATTTGTTGCCACAGCGTCGCATTACAAGCCTCTCCTTCTAACAGTGTGTTTTTTCTCTTTTAAATTCATTCAACCCATTCGCATGCTTTGTGACCTTTACAAATGAACTTTACGTTACAGTTTTATACGTAAGGATGTTCTAAAATTGTTTGTTTTGGAAAACTTAATAACTTTGTAAATATTGATGATTAAAGTACAAAGTAAATGTACATTTTTAATACAATTTTAAAAAGTTATCCTCTATATGTGTGTTCTTTTATTATCGGGATTGTAAAGACACGCTGTATAGACGTTAGAGTCTTGAGTGATGTAAGGTAAAAGAAAACAACTTACACAAGAAAATTGGGTGAAAAAACTACAAAAAATTGTTGATAAAGCCTGGAAAGTACAAAAATTGTACTTAGTCCAAATTTTCGTTAAAATTTCGCGACTTGTTTTCTCGTATATAATATTTTGATGTTTTTCCTTATTTCAAATTATTTTATTGTTGGCCAAATTTGCCGCCTTAGGCTCTGGCCTTCTTAGCCCGCTGGTAAATCCGCCATTGTGTACAGAAATTGTTAACTATAAAAAGCTTTCTTAATATTTATTCTTCACATATATTAATATTTCAGGACACATTTTTACACGTTTTCTAGTCCCAAACTAAGCACCACTTGTACTTTGATTACTAGATAACTGATAAACATACTCAAACATACTTTTCTTTTGTAAATAAATACATATTATACACATATAAACACCCAGATAGTGAAAAAACACTACGTTC